ATCTGTGAGAGTCTGTGAACCAGGGGAATCCTGTGCCAGATCGGCCTAGCGCGGACCAGAGCGAGATGGACCCTGTGCAGGTATGGTACTCTGTTGCCAATTAATTCAGATAATAATCTGAACTGATCAAGAACAATCAGCATCCTGAAGTCTCACTGAAGGTGAAATCTTTAGCACAAGTGCTCTGATGTGTACCAGTTTCGTCAAATGGCTGAATGCCTCATCCTTGAAGCTCCAACTTTAAATGACCTTTCCCCACACACCTCCTTTCCTCCCTGCCTTCTCTGCTGGATCCCACCTCCGGCGCCTTCATCCGCACACACTTTTTTTAGCATCCTTGCCTTCTCCGCCAGAATTCACCTGCTCCGCCTTCCCACTCGTCCTTCTAACCACATACACTCTCCTTCCACACACATTCACCTCTCCCCCTTCCTGGTCCAGCCCACTCCCACACACATCCACACTCCTCAATGCTTGAGCTCCTTCCAGCGAATTCGGTAAAGATTTTAGCGCCACACACTCCCGTAACTGGAGCACTTCTAAACGAAGCATCTGACCCATGTGAGGAGGGAGGGAGTGCAGTTGCTTGCAGAAGCTGAAGGAGGCCACTCGGAGCAAAGGGAGAGACGGGAAGGAGAAGGGCAGATGCGTTAAAGAATCACACCGGGAGATTTCGAGTTGTGTTGATCGGGGTAGGGAACCGAAGCCGTATGGGAGAGTGGAAAATGTTGGGCAGTCTGTGATTGTGAGGTGGACGAGGGATGCCAGAGCGGAGGAGTCGGGCAGATGGTGAAATTTTCCACAGCTCTCAATGGAGAGATTCTCGAGGGATATCAATGAGCCGACATTAGCAGGCAGGGAGGTGAGGTCATAGTATCTGATGATTTTTAGCGTGTGGAGGCGATAGAACTGGCACAAGGCGGGCGGCAGAGAGGAAATATTCGATCCGCAAATCAGGGTTGCTTCTTCAAGCGAGGGCAAGCCGCAAAGGGGGTCCAGAAACGAAGGGCTCTTTGTCCCCTCTATAGACAGCTTCTTTAGCGCTTCAAGGAAGCCGAAACGGGTTGGCAGTGTCTTCATGTGATAGCAGCACTCAATCGTCAGCTCCTCTAAGCGAGTCAGCTTGAAGATCCTAGCAGGCAGCTGCTTCACATGGTCACACTTGATATGAAGCTTTTTCAGGGAAGGTAACTTGCAGACAGATTGCGGGACCTTCAACTCTAATATTTCCAGGTTCCCCAAGCGGCCTATATTCTCTGGGAGGTCGATACGGGCTATAAACTCGCCGGCATACTTGTAATCCACGCGTAGCGTACGAAGCAAGCTTAGTTTCGAGATGTCGGGTTTCTCAAAGCGAGGAAGATCTACGTTGGTTAGATCCAGGTACGTTAGCGACGTGAGGTGCTCGACGGAGGCGTCGAGAGAAAGGCAAGTTGATCGTGGCGTCCGCGGCAAGATTCGCGGGGAAAGTACAGCGTCAGCGATTCCAGGGTCGACGCGAGGAACGCGAGGGAGGGAGGGAAGTACTTGAACCGACCGGAAAGCGAAAGCGAGCGCAGATTGCGCAAGCGGCCGCGGGATGCAGGCAGGAGAGTGCATTCATCTAGGTTCGAGACTGTGAGGTGCGTGAGCCATTCGAGGGAGCATAGCCCCGCGGATATGAACCTTCGCTTCGCGACTGGAAAAGGGCCCGTGCGCTGCCACTCGTGTACGCTAATGTCGAGATGACGCAGGGAACGGCCGAGGGGCGGGTATCTCACGCCGCGAGCAGCTATGGCGGCGGCAGCTTTCTCTGCGGCAGGGTAGAAATAGCCGTCCCTCTCATAATCCCAATCCCAATGCGTGTCGCCTTCTTCTTTCCACTTGACGTAACCCAGCTTTACGAAAGTCAGCGACGGCAGCGCAAACAATCCCACGGGGAACGACGCGTTTCCGTCTGCGTACGTCACCTCGAGCCGCTCGAGCGATGTCAGATGGCTTAGCGCCTCGAGTGACCCGCAGAATTTCAGCGACTGAATGGTCACGTGGCGCAGCCGAGACGCGAAGATGAGATCGAATCGGGGACGCGCAAGCACCGGATACCGAAGGATGGTGAGAGCCGTTAGAGACTCGATGCGCGAGGCTGGGAGAGAATGTATATTGGGACACGAGTCCAACGTAACTTCCTCCAGTTTCGTCCATTCTTCGCACGCGTCTGGTAACCTCCCGTCGAAGTTTCGCAGCTCCAGTCGTCGCATATTCTGCAGCGCGCCCACGCGCGTTGGGAAACGATGCACCTTCCAGGAGCCGTTGATTTGGAGGGAAGTGAGGGATGAAAGGTCGCCGAACGACTCGGGCAACAGCCGCAATTCCGTGCAATCCGAGAACGAGAGCTGCGCCAATGATCTCAGCTCACCAAAAGCTTCGGGTAGTTGCGAAAGAAACGGGCAGCTTAAATGGAGCTCTTGGAGCGCAGACAGCTGGCATATCTCGTCGGGCAGCAAGCGAAAAAAACTTGGAGTGCAGCCGGAGCACGCGCAGCGAGGTCAACGACGCGATGCAACGTGGAAGCTTCGCCATCTGGCCGAGGCAGTTCGAGAGAGTCAGCTCCTGTAACCGCGGCACCGCCAAGCGAAAAAACTCCTCTAGAGACTGAAGACCTATTTGGAAGTGAGGCAATCCCTCGAAGCGCGGCTCGTGCAGCCTCAGTCGGACGAGTCGCGAGCAGCTGTAGATTAAGGAGGAAAGAAACGCGTCATCGTAAAAATCGAGGGCGCGTTCGTCGAGGGAAACGGAAGTGATGCTTGGAGCGAGGGAAAGGTTGCGGAAGAGCGAAGGAGCGGAAAGCGCCAGCGCAAGCTCCTTATCCGGCGCTGCAGTGACCTTCGCTAGTGGTGGTTTGTGGCCGACGCGAATGGCAGTCGCTGTTCCTAGCCATCGTTTACACGTTAGTGCGAGTTCACTAAATGGCGTGCTGATGGCGGGCTCGCTGCCGCTGCCGCTGCCGTCGCCACTGCAGCCACTGGTGCTGCCATCGAATGCGGCGCCAGCGCCAGTTGTAGCGAGCGAGAGGATTTTTCCGAGGAGCTCGTCTGGTAGGTTATTAAAGAGCGCGTCTCGTGCGCTGCGCTGAGCTGGAGGAGCCATATGCTCCATTCGGGTAGTGAGGTCAGTTTTGCTGAGACTTTCCGTTGTGCAGGAGGTAACTGGGAATACGATAATGGGCGAATGACCGTGATGTTGCTGCATGACGTCTGATGTTGGTGCGAACGAAGCACAGCAGCACACAGCCGTGCACTTCTACCAATTGAAGTTGCCTGGCCTCCCCTCCTCGATTCAAATATCCTCGGCGTTGTCAGTCTGCCCATCTTGCGCGGCTCGTCACAAGGATCTCACCAGACCTTTTGCCGCCTTGTCAGGTCAATTCAACCGTTGGGCGAAGGTCGCCCAAGGGTCAAGATCCCTTACAGGCGGATCCCAGCTATGAATATTGTAAGTGAAACATCATTTCTTGGAACACATACCTGAAAAAACAAGACCACCCCTCACACTCCTTTCCCTTCTAACTATGGCCCCACACGCTCCGGTTTCCCATTTCCCCCCCTCACTACACAAACTCCCTTTCCAAACACCCCCATCTCCCCCCCTTCTTCCAGCAATCCACTCCCATACACATCCACATGCCTCAATGCTCTGGCTTCTCTAAGAGATCTTGGTAGAGATTTTAGCGCCACACACTCCCGTAACTGAAGCACCTCCAAACGAAGCATCTGACCCATGAGGGGAGGGAGGGAGTGCAGAGCCTTGCAGAGAAGCCGTTGATTGCGGTGGCTTTCCACCAAATCTGGCTGGAGCGGTGTGAAGCGGCTTTTCGACAAGATAAATTTCAGCCGCGAAGAGTACTCAGGAAGATCGGCGTGAACTTCATGAAGCACATCAGAATCTACAGTGCGTGCAAGAAACAGTCAACGGGGGCGGCAAACGTGGAAACGGAAGGTGTGGTGCAGAGCTGGAAACACCTGGCGAAGGACGAGGCTAGGATGCTGAGCCGGATCTTCGAGGATGAGGACACGCTACTGTGGAAAGAGGGATTCAGATCGGTTTGGAACAACCCGAGAACTATCTTTCATCCACCTTAGTACTCCACGGAAGGGTAGTGTAGACCGTTGGTTTGCCAGACCCCTTCCCCCCTCACAGTTAAGACTGTGGATGTACCCGCTTTTATAAGTGTAATACATCCTTCAAAAAAAAAAAAAAAAAAAAGAGCCTTGCAGAGATTGAAGCAGGCCACTTGGAGAGAAGGGAGGGAGGGGAATGAGGAGGGCAAATGCGTGAAAGAAGCACACTTGGGTCAATTGCTGTAGCGAGCCAAAGCCGTCAGGGAGAGTGGAAAATCCCTGACAACGTGTAACACTGAGGTGGATGAGGGATCTCAGGGCGGAAAATGAGTCGGGCAGATGGCGAAAACTCTCGCACTCGCGAATGGAGAGGCTCTTGAGGGATACCAGTGCGCCGAAATTCGTAGGAAGAGAGCTGAGGCTGTTGTAACTGGCGATTGTTAGCATGTGGAGGCGGGAAAATCGGCAAAAGGGGGGCGGCAAAGATGAAATGTAGGATCCGCAAGTGAGGGTTACTTCTTCAAGCGACGGCAAGCCAATCAGTGAGTCCAGAAATGAATCCCTTTGTGTCCCCGCTATAGTCAGCTTCTTTAGCGCTTCGAGTGCGACAAATCTGACCGGCAGTGTCTTCATGTGATTGCACTCCATCAGCTTTAGCTCCTCTAAACGAGTCAGCTGAGAGAACCTTGCAGGCAGCTGCTTCAAGCGCTCGCAACTCAGATGAAGTTTCTTCAGGGAAGGTAGCTTGCAAAACGATGGCGGGAGCCCCGTCATCCACCGGCATTCCTTCAGCTCTATTGTTTCCAGCTTCCCCAAGCAACCGATATCCTTCGGAAGATCGACGTGGGCTCTAAACCCGCAGGAATACTCGTAGTCCACGCGTAGCGTACGAAGCAGCGTAAATTAGGCGAGTTCGGGGGTCGGATTGTGAAGCTGGATGTTGGTTAGGTCAAGGTACGTTAGCGACGTGAGGTCCGCGACGGAGGCCGGGAGTACCGGGCAAGACTGATCGTCGCGGTTGAAGTAGCCGCCTTCGCGGGTAAAGTGCAGCGTCAGCGACTGCAGGGACGACGCGAGGAGCGCGAGGGACGGAGGGAAGAACTGGAAGCGACCGGAGAGCGAGAGCGAGCGGAGACTACGCATCCGCCCGAGGGCTATTGGCAAGAGGTTGGAAATATGGAGATCTGAGATGGTGAGGTGGGTTAGCCACTCGAGCGCACATATCCCGGGAGACATGACCCTTCGTTCTGAGCGTTGGTGCTCGCCCATGCTCAGGTCGAGATGACGGAGGGAATGGCCTAGGGGCGGGTATGGGGCAATCGTGGCCGCGGCGGCGATGGGTAGGGTTGCGTTGTAGATTACGGTGGGAGATGTATAGGTGAGATAGATGTTGCTTGCACGGTACGACTCCCAAAGCGGAACGACGTTGCCTCCGTCCATCCACTTGACGCAACCCAGCTTCACGAAAGCCAGCGACGGCAGAGCGAAGAGTCCCAAGGGGAACAGCTCGTTTTCTTGCACGTGTGCCACCTCGAGCCGCTCGAGCGATGTGAGATGGCTTAGCGACTCGAGCGACACACCAGAGCTCGCCCAGTCGATGGTGACGTGGCGCAGATGAGACGCGAAGATGAGTTCGAATCGGGGGATGTTGAAATCCCGGCAGTTACGGATGGTGAGAGCCGTTAGCGACTCGATTCGTGCGGCCGGAAGGTAGGGTATGTTGCGACACGAATCCAGCGTAACTTCCTCCAGATTTGTCCATCTTTTGCACGCGTCTGGCAGCCCGTTGTCGAAGTTTCGCAGCTCCAGCCGTCGCATTCGCTGCAGCGCGCCGATGCGGACTGGGAAACCAATCACTTGCCAGGAGCCGTCGATCTGGAGGGAGGTGAGGGACGAAAGGTCGCCGAACGACTCAGAAAGATGCCGCATTCCTTTGCATTCCGAAAGCGAGAGCTGCGTCAACGATTCCAGCCTCCCAATTGCTTCGGGCAGCCGCAACAGTAACGGGCAGCTTAAGCAGAGCTCCTGGAGCGTGGAGAGCTGGCATATCCCGTCGGGCAGCATACGGAGAAATTTGGAGGACGCGCGGCGAGGACAAGGACGCGATGGAATCTGGAAGCTTCATCATTTGGCCGAGACAGTGCGAGAGCGCCAGCTCCTGTAACCGCGGCGCCGCCAAGCGAAAAAACTCATCCAAAGGCTGATGACCAATTCCAAACTGAGGCTCTGCCGTAAAGCGCGCCTCGTGCAGGCTCAGGCGGACGAGTCGCGAGGAGGCGGAGATAAGCGAGGTAAGAAACGCGTCGTCGTAAAAATCGAGAGCGCATTTGGCGAGAGAAACGGAAGTGATGCTCGGAGCGCGGGACAGGATGCGCAAGAGCGCAGGCGCGGAAAGCACGGAAGCGGAAAGCTGGCTGTGCCAAGATGGCGCGAGGCCGCGATTGACGCGAAGGGCAGTCATGCTTCCTAGCCAGCGTTTACACGTAACTGCGAGGTCACTAAGCGTGGTGACGGTTGGCTCTCTGCCGCCGCTGCCGCTGCCGCTGCCGCTGCTGCCTGGCTCCGTAACGGCGCAAGTCGCAGCGAGCGAGAGGATTTTGCGAAGGAGCTCGTCTGGTAGATTGTGGAAAGGCGAGTCGCGCGCGCTGCGCTGAGCTGCTGGGGGCTCCATAGAATAGAAGAAGACTCGTTTCACGTTGTTGCCAGTTTAGTGAAGTTGAACTTCTGCGTAAGATACTGGGACTGATAGAGGCGGTATGCTGCTGCTATGCTAACAGAGGCCACGGCTAACAATCCATGGCTCCACTCTCGTGGCTCTGAAGCTCCGACTGGGTATCTCTGTCCAAGAACAATCAGTTACCACATACAACAGACGGACAACCTCGTACATACAGGACAACGTACATGCCACATAGAACTAGCACTGTGACCCATGAGTCATGTCATTCATGACACGCACAAAACTCCTTTCGATTGAGCGCGACTCGTCAGAAGGGGGTCCACCTCACCGCCGTTCCCTCCCGAAACAAGCCACCCCTTGCGCCAAGGTCGTGTTTCGATGGCTGGGAGAGGCCTTGACGTGGAGCCCTGATGTAAAACCCGATACAAGGCGTGAACACACAGTTTTTGTGCACATGTACCGTGCTCCCTAAATGATTCAGTAGAGTAATGACACTTTCGTGATAAAAAAATCGTGATGGCTAACAAGTTACAATTTCATACACCAGTAAGTTACATTGTTCGAACAAGTATACAATGGATATAGTAGGTGGAACAAAAATTATTGGAAACAAAACATGGATATCAAAGCTGATAAAAGCACCCCTAGCAAAACTACATCTACTATGTTCAACAACTTAACACCTCGCACTACACTTCAACTACACAGGTCTAGCAGCACCTGTGGCAATTACAGGCACAATGGTGTCTGCAAGACAAAGAATGATGGAGAGGGAGAGCAGGCGACAGCCAGCCACTGGATGGATCCTGGTTCTTGCTCAAGCTGCTTGAGATTTCTCACATGGGACTGTCAGACGGCCCCTGGGATCTTCAACTTCTCACCACACCTCACCACACAGCACTCCTCACAGAATCATTTTCAGTCAGGTATCTCCACCCAGCTGTTGCAGAATGTCGGTGACTCGCTTTCCCTGGCCGTCTCCAGTTAATTCCACCACCACCCATCTCCCCTTTCCCTCACCCTCCTCCTCACCCTTCCCCCCCTCTCGTTCTCTGTCCCTCTGCCCGCCTAGCAAGCCCGCTGCCTGCTGCCTCCATTGTATCAACCCATCCACATGCAACACTCGTTCCACTCCCTTCACTCCCTTCACTCATCCCACTCCTCCTTACGTGCTTCCTGCATCGACCAATCACTCACAAGTCACTTGGCTTCCCCACGAAGCAACATGCGCTGCTCCCAGTGCCGAGGTGACTTCTGTGACTTCTGGATCGACTCAAAAGTGGCCTACACAACTCACTTGGCCTCCTCGCCTGCAAAGATATCCTTCCGGGAGACCAGTCCTTGGCAGCGAGCATTGAGACGCCTTCAAACTCCTGTCTCAGTGGCTTCCAACTCATTTTGCCTCCTCGCCTGCAAAGATATCCTTAATAGAAGACCAGTCCTTGGCAGCGCGCTGCTCCCAGTACCCCCCCACATATGTCCACGTGTTGTGCGGCCCCATCTGCTTGAACCACCGCGGCTGCCACCCCTCCTCCTTGCTCTCACGCGCCTGCGTGGGAACGAGCAGCGTGCGTGTGAGGGAGAGAGGGGAGTGGGGAGTGGAAAGAGGAGATGGGGACTTTTGAGATCTCTCCTCCTTGCTCTCATGCGCCTGCTTGGGAACGAGGGATGTGCGTGTGAGGGGGAGTGGGGAACGGGGTGTGGGGAGTGGGAAGTGGAGAGTGGGAAGTGGCAAGTGAAGAGGAGAACCCAGTACTTAACCCAGTTTGGCTCTGTCAAAGGCCCTCTTTTCCACACACACCCCGTTTTTCACACACCACTTTCTCACTTAATTCTTCAAGCACTGCCCTTCTTCTTAAAGCCTCTCTCACAGCCAAAGCCCGAAACCGCGTTGTTAAAAAAAAAAAAAAACTTCCAGGCATCCCCTTACAACCCAACCCCACACAGCAGCCCCTTCTGACTCCCACCCACCTGTCGTTGCCGTGTCTTGAGGCGAATCTTCTCCTCATTGGCGTGGTCAAAGTACCCTTCCTCCAACGTGTTCCCTTCTATGTCTCAGCCCCCCCTCCCTCCAAGAGCAGCCACTGTTCACCCCCACCCCACCTGTCGTTGCCGTGTCTCGAGGCGAATCTTCTCCTCATTGGCGCGGTCAAAGTACCCTTCCTCCAATGCCCGCTGGTCCGGACGTAGACGTGAGTCCGTGGGAGGGAGAACACCCTGGGAGCAAGGAGAGGAGAGGGAGAAAATGAGGGGATGGGTTGATTGAGTCGCCTTCAGAGTCCTTGGAAGAGAGCACGTTCTGGTATCAAGATAAGGAGGCGGGAGGAGGGGAAAGGGGGGTAGCAAGAGGCGGGGCAGAGAGGCGCTTGGGGTATGCTTTTGATGATATTTTTGAGGCGCCGCCACAGTCTGCTTTTGAGGCGTCACAGCGGCTCATACTCGCAAAGTATGGATGCATATGCGAGGTAAGAGGTGATGGGGAGGAGCACGCTTTAGCAGCAAGGAGAGAGAGAGGGAATGAGGGGGTGAGCACGGCCTTCCAGCAAAAGAGAGGGGCAAATATCACAACTGACTGACCGACCGACCAACCGACCGAGTGAGTGAGTGGTTGAGCGAGTAAGTGTTTGACTGAGTGAGTGAGTGAGTGAGTGAGTGAGTGAGCGGCCGTCCAAGTCCTTCCTTGCATTGCAAAGAGGGCTGCTGCAATGAGCGCTCAAAGAGACCTTGCCTGATTGACCACATTCCCTCGACTTGAGGTCTGGGTTGATCTAGTAAAATGTGATGTGATGATGTAGCTGCATAACAAGGCGGCGCGGGGCACGAATTTTGCGGCGTCTCAGAACTCACCTTGAGGTCGGGGGTAATTTCGTTGAGAGTGATGCAGTACGGTGTGAAGGTGTACTCACATACGAAGAACGAAAGGGAGGGAGGAGGGGATGGGGGTAATCACATACTCACAATCAAGACGTCTCAGAGCTCACCTTGAGGTCGGGGGTGATCTCGTTGAGAGTGATGCAGTACGGTGTGAAGGTGTACTTGCACGGGAAGGGCGAGGGGGGGGACTTGCGCCACAGCAGGTGCGCGTGCGCCATGAGGTGCTGGTCGTCCTTGGCCGCCTTGCCATGCTCCTTGTGTGACAGGTCCCCCGGCACATAGTGCAACGACTCGTCCCACCGCCCCACCAGCGTTGCCAGCTTCTCCCCCTTCTCACCCACCGCATAGCCCCGCACCTGGGAGGGGCAGGAGGGGCACGTGTGGGTTGGGAGAAACAGAGGGAGGAGAGGGGTTGGGCCGGGCTGCATTGGCGGTGTTGCAGGCTTCGCATGGCTGTACACCCCCTGGCACCCCTCTGGTCTGGCCACAGCAGCAGGTGCGCGTGCGCCATGAGGTGCTGATCGTCCTTGGCCGCCTTGCCGTGCTCCTTGTGTGACAGGTCCCCCGGCACGTAGTGCAATGACTCGTCCCACCGCCCAACAAGAGTCGCCAGCTTCTCGCCTTTCTCGCCCACCGCATAGCCGTGCACCTGGAAGGAGTAGCGGGTGTGTCACAGCGTCACAGCGTGGGTTGGGTGGGAGAGAGGGAGGAGAGAGATTGGGTCGCGCTGCACTGGTGGCGTTGCCATCTTCACAACCATTTTCACCCTTTGGCACCCGTCTGGCCACAGCAGCAGGTGCGCGTGCGCCATGAGGTGCTGGTCGTCCTTGGCTGCCTTGCCCTGCTCGTCTGACAGGTCCCCTCGCACATAGTGCACAACTCATCCCACCGCCCCACCAGCGTTGCCAGCTTCTCACCCACAGCGTAACCCCGCATCTGTGAGAGGGGAACAATGAGTGCCCGGCTTTTGAGGCGCCTCAAAAGCCACATCTGGGAGAGGGGAACAATGAGTGCCCGGTTTGGGTTGGGAGAAAATGGGGGGCGAAAATGAGGAAATATGGGCAACACACCAGCTTCTTTCTCTTGCTCTTCTCAACCACAAGGAGCCCGCCACAATATGGGGAGGAGGGGAGGGGACGGGAGGGGAGGGGACGGGAGGGGAGGGGACAGGAGGGGAGGGGACGGGAGGGGAGGGGACGGGAGGGGAGGGGACGGGAGGGGACGGGAGGGGAGGGGACGGGAGGGGAGGGGAAGGGAGGGGACGGGAGGGGAGGGGACGGGAGGGGAGGGGAGGGGAGGGGACGGGAGTGGAGTTGAGCAGAAGGGAGGGAAAGAGAGGGGAGTGAAGGGGAAAGGGTTACCTACATACCTGGTGTGTGCTGCCGTCAAAGAAGGACTTCTCGTTGAGCTTGAGCCGTGTGGACGCGCCTTGGTTGCTATTGATGAGCGCACATGGGTTCACATGGGCGCACAGGTGGAGTGGAGCGGAGGTGTGGAGGGGGTTACCCACCTGGTGTGTGTCACGGTCGAAGAAGGATCGCTCCTTGAGCTTGAGCCGCACGGAGATGCCTCGTTAAGCTATTCATGACCACACATGGGTGCACACGAGCGCACACGAGCGCACACGGGCGCACACGAGCGCACACGAGCGCACATGGGCGCACATGGGGGCACATGGGCGCACATGGGGGCACGTGGGGCACATGGGGCACATGGGGCACATGGGGGCACATGGGGGCACATGGGGGCAGCCCCTATGGCGGGAGGAGAAGAGCGAAACGGAGAAGAGGTCCCACCTGGTGTGTGTCACGGTCGAAGAAGGAGCGCTCCTTGAGCTTGAGGCGCACGGAGATGCCCCGGTTGCTGTTGATGCGCATGGTGCCGTAGTGGTCTATGTACAGCTTGCCTATGATCAGATTATATATGCCCGTTGTCACCTGCACATCGCAATGGATACGGGCACAGGAGCATGGCAGGGGAGGGGAGACAAGGCATGGTGCAACCGGGATGTTGATGCGCATGGTGCCGTACTGGTCCATGCGTACAGCTTGCCGATAATCAGACTATAGATGCCCGTTGTCACCTGCGCGTGACATTCATGGGTACGATGGGAGCAACGAGAGGAGGACTTGGCGAGAGACCACACATAGTGCCATAGTGGTCGATGTATAGCTTGGGTATGATCAGAATCAGATTATAAATGGTCGTGGTCACCTGGCACATGACATTGCGGTGATGGGAACATGGGAAAAGAAAGAGGAGTTGGTGAGAGAGAGAGACCAGGCTGCGGTGCGGACCAGCATGGGGCTCTAGTGGTCAAAGCACAGCTTGCCTCGCAAGGTAGATGCAGCTTGCCTCGCAAGGTAGATGCAGCTTGCCTCGCAAGGTAGATGCAGCTTGCCTCGCAAGGTAGATGCAGCTTGCCTCGCAAGGTAGATGCAGCTTGCCTCGCAAGGTAGATGCAGCTTGCCTCGCAAGGTAGATGCAGCTTGCCTTGCAAGGTAGATGCAGCTTGCCTCGCAAGGTAGATGCAGCTTGCCTCGCAAGGTAGATGCAGCTTGCCTCGCAAGGTAGATGCAGCTTGCAGCCTTGCATCTAAAATCAGGTTTGTAGATCCCACAGCCAGCACCCACCTTTCCCCCCCAGCTCATCCCACAAACTGTACCATGCAGTACCATGTTGTCGGACCGTACTTGACCACACCCAACCCCAGCCCACCCCAACCCACTTCACCACACCACATCCCACTGCATTGCACCGCACCTGGTTGGTTCGACTTGAACACCTCTCTGGCAACAAACGCCACGGACACCCCCAGCAGCACTTCCAGCTGCGTGGGAGACCTTACTTAGCCGCGCAGAGCACCACACATACCCCAGCACACCGCATCCCACCGCAATACACCGCACCTTGTTCCACTCGAACACCTCCCCATCGTCAAACGCCACGGACAGCACCCCCAGCGGCTCGAGCTGCATTGACGGCCCCCAGAAGCGGATGCGGATGTTGCAGTCGCCCCAGAACCGCCATCCCCGCCCCTCACAGTGCGCTGCCACTATGGGCGGGTGGTGCACCACCTAGTGTAGGGAGACGGGGAAGGGGGAGACGAAGGGGCGAAGGGATGGGGGTGGGCGGAGGAAGACCAGTGAGTGGCTCAAATAGGTCCCCCCAGAACCGCCTTCCCCGCCCCTCACAGTGCGCTGGCACTATGGGCGGGTGGTGCACCACCTGTTGTGGGGAGACCGGGGGAGAGGAGGATGATTAGCGGTTAAGAGCCGACATCCCCGCCCCTCGCAGTGCGCTGCCATTATAGGCGGATGGTGCTAGCTACCATCCGTCTATAATGTGGAGAGGACAGGGACGGGGGAGACGATGGGGGAGGGAGGGAGGGAGGGAGAGGTGGGGTGGGGGAGGAGGAATAACGGAGCGTGAGTCAAAGAGGTGGGCCTAAGAAGTGCGTCTGCCAGCCCTTACAGTGCGGTACAGTCAAAGGGGCGCTGCCACTATAGGCAGGTGGCACGACTTGTTGCGGGGAAGCCGGGAAAGGGGAGATGACAGGGGTGGGGGGGAGAAGGGGGAGAAGGAGGAGAAGAGGGAGAGGGGAGTGAGGGATGGGTGAGTGGGTCAGTCACAGAGGTTGCGCCAGAACCCCTAGCCTTGCCCCCTGCCGTGTGCTGCCAGTATAGGCGAGTGGTCCACTGCCAAACCTGCAGTGGGTTTGGCTGGTGGGGGTTAGGAGGGGGGTATGGACTACGGAGAGGGAACGGTGACTTTTGAGACGATTTTTGAGTCGACGCAGAAATCGCCTCGTCACACTACGGAGAGGGAACGGTGACTTTTGAGACGATTTTTGAGTCGACTCAGAAATCGCCTCGTCACACTACGGAGAGGGAACGGTGACTTTTGAGACGATTTTTGAGTCGACTCAGAAATCGCCTCGTCACACTACGGAGAGGGAACGGTGACTTTTGAGACGATTTTTGAGTCGACTCAGAAATCGCCTCGACACACTACGGAGAGGGAACGGTGACTTTTGAGACGATTTTTGAGTCGACTCAGAAATCGCCTCGTCACACTACGGAGAGGGAACGGTGACTTTTGAGACGATTTTTGAGTCGACGCAGAAATCGCCTCGTCACACTACGGAGAGGGAACGGTGACTTTTGAGACGATTTTTGAGTCGACTCAGAAATCGCCTCGTCACACTACGGAGAGGGAACGGTGACTTTTGAGACGATTTTTGAGTCGACGCAGAAATCGCCTCGTCACACTACGGAGAGGGAACGGTGACTTTTGAGACGATTTTTGAGTCGACTCAGAAATCGCCTCGTCACACTACGGAGAGGGAACGGTGACTTTTGAGACGATTTTTGAGTCGACTCAGAAATCGCCTCGTCACACTACGGAGAGGGAACGGTGACTTTTGAGACGATTTTTGAGTCGACGCAGAAATCGCCTCGTCACACTACGGAGAGGGAACGGTGACTTTTGAGACGATTTTTGAGTCGACTCAGAAATCGCCTCGTCACACTACGGAGAGGGAACGGTGACTTTTGAGACGATTCAAAAGTGGGGGTTAGGAGGGAGGTATGGACTACGGAGAGGGAGCGGTGCAGAAAGTGGGGGTGGTGGGGATGATGGGGCTGATGGTGAGAGAGCGAGTGATGGGCGGATAGGGAGAGTAGAACGGATGGTGGGTTGAGATGAGAAAGCTCGGAAATAGACACTTGTCAAGGGAGTCTGCCTGTAGGTCTCTTGCGCCAACCAAAGCACAACCAACCCACCCACCCACCCACCCACCCGCCCAAGACTCGTTACCCATCACACCTTTCCTGAGAGATACCAAAAGCCCTTGTCCGGAAAGCCCTCCACCCCGCATGTGGAAACCTAATTCAGAAACCCTAACTCAATCCCTACGCTTTCGTCAGGAAAGACAATACCAAACCCGAACCGACCAGCCGAAGCTCTGACCACGAAATGCTAGAGCCGAACGAAACACGGCACCCTAGACCCGGAACTCTAAACCCGTGGTACACCTTTTCGGAGATGAATCGAAAGCCCTTGTCGGGGAAATCGGCCTCGTAGGTCTCTCCGATGAGCGGGTTGAATGGCTTCTGCACTCGGTGCTCCGCACTCGCTGCATAGGCTGACATCGCAAACGCTGCCACGTGTAGCGCCCGCATCAGATGCTCGCCCTGAGGGAGTTGGGAGGGAGATGCGGGGGGGAAAAAGCGGAATGGGAGGCCAGGTGGGTCTGGGGATGCTGCCACATACAGCGCTGACATGAGACGCTTGACATGTGGGGAGCTGTGGGGATGGGCAGCGCCGCAGCGGGGGAATGGAGGACCAGGAAAAGTGGGCTTTTCTCAAGGTGCATGTGGATGCAGCGGTGTGCAGCGCCTGCAGCAGACGCTCCCCCTGGGGAAATGCACAGCAGGGGGAATGGGAAGGGAGAGTACGTGATCCATCCCATCCCATCCCATCCCATTCCATCCCACCCCACCCGACCCCACCCTGCCCCACCCATCACCGCCACTCAACCCGGCGGCCATACTCAGCAGCGCAGTCAAGCAGCCAGCTATACTCCATCTCCTCGCAGCACTTGTGCAGTGTGCTAATGGGGAGAATGGTCTCAGGAAACAATACCCACTCGCAACCTTCGGGATAGACGAGGCCATGTCTTATCCCAACCCACCTCACTCCCCTGCACTCCACCCATCCCACCCACCCCACCCCACCCCATCCCTCCACTCACTCGGCGGCCATACTCAGCAGCGCGGTCAAGCAGCCAGCTATACTCCATCTCCTCGCAGCACTTCTGCAGCGTGCTAATCGGCTCATTAAAATACACAGGCAAACATATCTTGGACATATCCTTGCCCACACAGTCCTTGATTATATTCCACAGCCCTACTGCCTTCTCCTCCTCAGCCGGCTCAGGCAACCTCTCCCGCCGCGGCACATACGGGTACGTGAAACCCACTTTCTCCATGTCTAGACCCGACAGGCTGGACAGGGATCGCTCAAAGGACCCGCCGGGGGGGGAGGAGAGGGAGGAGAGCGAGAGGGAGAGGGAGAGGGAGCGGGAGGCGAGCTCCTCCCAGCGGCGCGAGCCGACGAATTCGTCCATGGCTTCAAAGAACTCATCCTCTCCTGCCTGTGTGCTGCTGTGGTCGTCCCCTTCGTCCCCTTCGTCCTCGCCCTCGTCCTCGCCCTCCTCCCCACTCTCCTCCTGCTCGACCTCTTCTCGGTCGTTCTCTGTCAAGGGGAGAAGCACAGGCGTGCCTTTGACGGCGTCAGTGGCTGCTGTGGCGGTGGTTGTTTCGCTCTGCTCATCGCCGTCTGGTGGGTGTGGGAGAGTGGGTGGGTGGGGGGGGTGGGGGGGGGGTGATGCACGAATGTGATGCATCCACCCTTCCACCATTGCGGATTCTAGCTTTGCGTCAACTCAAATCGCACTCAGAATTAGTAGGTTCTAGCTTTGTTGCTCTCTTACCTCGAGTATGATGCAGCGACTCCTCCACCACTGCTGATTCTAATTCCACCTTATCCGCCTGTGCGGGGAAAGAGGGAGAGAGGGGACAAACATGCACGCACATGCACACATGCACACACATGCACACACCCCACCGCTCATGCAGAGAGACACAAATATAGAGACACGTACATTAAGATGGCTAAATATGCAATATAAACATACAAAGAGGTAAAATATGGCTACACCGACATTCCAGCAACCTGATCTTTACCCGATTTTTACCCGATCTTTAACCGATCTGTACCCGATCTTTACCCGATCTTTACCCGATCTTTACCCTTTACCTGGACTTTACCCGGTCTTTACCCGATCTTTACCCGGTCTTTACCTGATCTCTACCTGATCATTACCCGATCTTTACCCGATCTTTACCCCATTCCCCGGTTACTTTCGACCCTAACTCACCTACCCAAACCCACCCTTACCCTCCCCTTTCCCTCCCTTCCCTTCCTTTCCCCTCCACGCACGCACGCGCGCGCGCACACACACACACACGCACGCACACACACACTCACGCACGCACGCGCGCGCACACACACACACACCCATCCCCACCGACGCACCTCCAGCTGGCTGATCCTCTCGTGCAGCATCTGTCTCCTCTCCTGCTCCTCCCTTAGCCGCAGCTGCAGGCGCTGCAGCACCTCCCTCCTTACCACCTCCTCGCACTCCTTGATCACCTCCGCGCTGACCTCAGCCCGCGCCAGGCACGCGCGCAGGGGCTCTAGAGTCACGTCTGCCACAAACGTCGCCTGCTCTGCCTCCCTCTGGCTGCGCCCCATGCGCTCCATGGCCGCTTGTAGCAGGTCCAGCCAGAGGCCTCTGTCATCACGAGACTCTGCTCTCAGGTCGAGCGTCTTGGTTCCACTGAACACGTAAAACTTCTTCTCGTCCGACTGGCTCTCCCGTAGCGATGACACCTGCGGTGGAGGACGGGGGGTGGTGTGTGTGGGGGAGTTCGACATGTGGCAAAATCCGAAGTGTAACAAGGCGCCTCAAGAGACGAATCAGGGCAGGTCGATTGAGCGTCTTGGTCCTGTTGAACACACAGAACCTCCTCTCTTCTGACTGGCTCTCCCGCAGTGATGACACCTGCGGGGGAGGAAAGGCGGTGTGGTATGGGGGAGTTTCAAGTTGGTGGGGGGAGCGAGAGAGGGGGAAGGGAGTGGGGAGGAAGGAAGTGGAGAAAGAGGTTTGGGGGGGAAGGAGTGGGTGGGGAGATTTGGGAAGAAAGTGAGGGGGGGGAATAAAACAAGGTAGGGAGTGAGGGGGGAAGAGTAGGGGGGAAGGGAGTGAGGGTAAAGGGAAGGAGTGAGGAGGCAGGAAAAGTGGAAAGCGGGCGGTTAGAAGAAGTGAGGAAGGGAGGGAGTGAGGGAGTATGTGGCAGTGAAATGGTCAGGGTTGGGAGGGTGAAAAATGGGAGGGGAGGGTTAGAAATGGGTCTCACTGACAGCGCACATCACATGCACTCACTGATATTTGAGGATTCTAAAATCACGCACACACACACACACTCACTCACTCTGCACATCAGTAATGCACTCACCGATAGATGTATCTCCCCATACACTCTGCACAGCGGCCGCGTGATTGCCGACTTGCCTCCTCCTCCTCCCCCTCCGCCCCCACCTCCTGGCATTGCTCCTGTGCCTCCGGCCCATGGTGCTGCAGTGGCCCCTGCACCAGGGGTTGAAGGGGCAGAAGCCACAGAAGCAGCACCACTTGCCACTGCCGCTGGTGCTGTCCCAGCAGCAGCAGCATCAGTAGCAGCACCGGCAGCAGCAGCACCAGCAGCAGAAGCAGCAGCGCCACCAGCACCAGGGACAGCACCACCAGCAGCAACAGCAGCAACACCAGCACCAGCAGCAGCACCGGTAACAGGAGCAGTAGCAGCAGAAGAAGAAGAAGCAGAAACGGCGGGGGAGAATGCAGACACAGTAGCCGAGGAAATTGCAGACGGCACACTAAGCACTGTAGCTGCTGCCGCTGCCGCACTCGCAGCCGCACTGCTGGCTGCAGCTGCAGCAGCAGTGGCAGCAGTAGCAGCAGCAGCTGCTGCAGCAGAGGCCACGCCAATGGCAGCAGCAGAGGCGGTATGAGCAGCACTAGGAACTGACTTCTCTGGAACCGGTTGCTGCCCCCCTACTGCCGCTGACGCCCTCTCTTTCTCCCTCTCCCTCTCCCTGTCTTTCTGCTTCTCCTTCTCGCTGACCTTGTCACCTCTCCCTCCCGCTCGCTCCCGCTGTCGCTCCTGCTCCTTGCGCAGCAGTCTCCTGACCTCATCCCCCACAAGGCATGCGCCAGGGCGCCGCTGCACCTCTAGCAGCACGCTGGCCCGGTGGGGACCCTCTATCTTGCAGTATGACAGCACGCCCTGGGGTACCGTGGGGGGGAGGGGGGAGAGGGGAATGTAGGAGAGGAGCGAGGGGCAGGGGAGAGGGGGAGAAAGAGGGGCTTTTGAGACGCTAGCTCTCAAAACTCAACTTATATCAGCACCAGCAGCACGCTGGCCCGGTGACTTTTGAGTCGACTCAAAACTCAACTTATATCAGCACCAGCAGCACGCTGGCCCGGTGGGGGGCCTCTATCTTGCAGTATGACAGCACGCCCTGGGGTACCGTGGGGGGGAGGGGAGAACGGAGAAGGGGACAGAGTGAGGGAAACGTGGTGTGGGTGGGGAACAGCGAAGCTGCATTGAGAGGGTTTAGGGTGAGGGAGAGGGAGAGGGAGAGGGAGAGGGAGAGGGAGAGGGAGAGGGAGAGGTGAGAGGTGAGAGGAGCGGGGCGAGAGAGGAAGTGGGTACGGGGTGTGGAAGTTGCATCGGAAGTTCCGGGATCAAATCATAGATATAACTTAATCTTATGTTTACGGTTAAATTGCTGGCTGCAGGGCTATAGCTGCTGCACGCGAAAGAATTCAGCTTATCAAGACAATCATTTGCACCTTATCGAGGATGAAGAGCCTAGGAGCCCAGCCTCGTCCCAGGTGCACCCATTTTGAAAGCACACCAATCGCCACGTCTGGAAGCTCCTCTCCCAACCCCGCTCCTCGCGCTCCCCCTGCCCCCGCGCCCTCCCCTCCCCCTCCCCCCTTCAACCCCCCTCCGCCTGACACACCCATCCCCCCGTCCGCGGCTCCTCCCGCAAGTCCGCTGGCACTTGCGCTCGTAACGGCCCCGTCGCTTCCGCCGCCGCCGCCAAGCGAGCTCTTCTGCGGGGGCTGCGCGGAGCTGTCCACCGCAGCCGCGCCCCGCCTGTCTGGCTCTCCCCCGGCCGTTGCACTTGCGCTTGCGCTCTTGGGGAACCCGCTAATGGTAAACCCACTCCCCGTCCGGTGCAATCCGCGCGCGTCCGCGTAAACCCCCTTCACTTCCCCTGCGCGGAACCCCCCCCGCGCATCAGTATCAATCCTGCCCTCCGACCGATACACCCCTAGCGCCTCCCCCCCGTCGCTTCCGAACGTGCCTCCCGCCGCAGCGCCGCCCGCCGCGCCCGCTCCGCCCGCGTCCTTCCCCGCGCGGCGGCGGAAGCCCTTGGCGACGAGGCTGGGGAGCGCAGTGTTCACCAGGCTCACGAACGCCGCCGTGTCGATCCCCATCGCCGACTGCACGAACGCCGCGCCGCCGCCGCCGCCGCCGCCGCTCCCTCCGCCGCCAGTGGCGGTGGACGCGACGTTTCCGCCTGTGAAGCCGCTTCTGTTTCCGCCACCCCCTCCGCCTCCGTTTCCGCTTCCGCCTCCGCCCCCTCGTCCTGCTTCTCCCGCTCCCCCGCCTGCCATTCCCGCCACTCCAGCGGCAGCAGTCGCCGTTTCTGGCGCTTCCGGGTGGAAACAAAACCCGGAGCTCCCTAGACTGCCGCTGCCTCGTTCCTCCGGGTTACCCGAGCCGCTCGAGCAGAGATTAGTAGGGCTGGTGGAAGGGTCTCGAGAGTGCGACGAAACGGATTTGCTGGAGGGAAGGATTGGGATCATTGCGGACGGCATGATGCCGGATGGGAAGACGGTCGATCCGAAGGACGGATGGAACAAACGGTCCCGACGTTTCTTGCCGTCCGGTGTTAAGGAGCAGGGATTAGAGACGTCGGCGGGTAGTCGATCGGTGTAGTGTCCTGGTGGTGACAAGCAACGCAATGCGGATTGCTGCTTACTAGAAGCGGTTTTCTTCATTCAAAGCTAGAAAGCGCTCACTGTGTGTATCGTTCTTGCGTCTCGTACTCGTCTCCTTATGGTGTTTCTTACTAAAGCGCTTCGTTAATGCTCGTACTTGAACTCATGTGTCTTACGTGCGCCCCTAATACACTCCCTATTTGCCTGGTTTCTATAATCAGGTCATTTGACATGAGAATGAGTCCGACGAAGGAACTGGGTCAAAAGATCTCTCGCGCATCATTACCGCTTGCTGTACATGTGTATTATGAGCAATGGAGAACCGAAATCAATTCTCCCTGGAATTCAGAAGGGCACGGAAAACTCCACAATCCCTCCTAGATACCGCCGAGCATGATAGCCCTCGCTTCAGATGGCCTCCTGGTTTCCAGAATAAAAAACATTGAGACGCTTGGCGAGTTCTAGGAACGTGTCCGCAAACCCATGAGGCGATAACATAATCCCATCAGCAAAGAGGCGTCAACTTCTGGTTAAAAAAACATCGTACCGTACGGAGAAGAGTTGCCTTACCAGGAGAGCGGTGGTTGGGCAGGATGATTATGGGATGGATTGGGATGGGATGGGATGGGATGGTATGGGATGGGATGAGATGGAATGGGATGGGATGGGATGGAATGAAAGCTGGAGGGGGGAGGTGTTGTGACAGGAAGTAATTTCGGAAGAATCAACCTTCCCATTGGCTGTTCGGTCCGTTGGTCTGGTTCGGAAATGTGAGGGTGAAGTGTGGAGCCATGCCCATCACAAAAGAGAACCCACACCAAGTGCGAGGGCGAGGGCGATACGTTGGATTCGGCGGCTCGGGTCGGTTCGGCCTAGTGGTGTTGGGGGCAGGGAGGGAGGTGAGGGGAGGTGTTGTCAGAGTCTGCAGCACACTGCTGCCTTCCTACGTGTCTACCTGCTGACCACTACTCGACCAATAAGCGTCACGAGAATCGATGTTGACGTCACCCCGACAAAAACTCGTGATAACAGGGTAATTGAGCTCGAAGTATCAAGAACCTCTCTTTTATTTCTGCTGACGTTTGCCATCCGTGATTCCGTCCACCAGCATCTACCACTGGAGGGGAAGACCATCAAACGCGAGTCCCTGCCAACCAGTGCTGTTCCGGAGCATCCAGCCAAAAAAGGGTAATTCGGGAGGTTATCCAGACCATAATGGGGGGAGCGACGGCTGCCCCAGAAACAGTGGTAGGTTCTGTGAAGGCCTCAAGATTGCGTCAGTGCGTCACCATGGGAGTTGTTCTTCGAGGCAGTCCATGAAGTTCGTTCTTTACTGGTCCCTGCTCGAAGATGTGGTATTTCAGACGAAGTGTAGTTACAACCAAGGATTATAAATGAGAAATAATACCATGTACCAGGAACATCCAAGACATGTCAGGGAACCTTCACAGGGGTATGCATCAGGCCAGCTAGTCATAGTTCTCCCATCACAGCTCAGAAAAAAAAAAATGCTTAGATGAGCAAAACAAAGAGTCTGGAACATTACACAAGAAAAGACACACCACAGTCCCAGACACCCGCACTCTGAACACAAGTCAGTTTCAGACACAAACACGCACACTTCTAGCAGCTACTTTGATTGAGCAGCCACAGACAGCAACAGGTTATCTTCAAAGTCAGAAGTCAAACCAGCCCACTCGTGAAGAAAACTCGTCATTGTTGAAGAAAAAAACCAAACCGTCTTCTCATGGCGATGCACTGGCAGGCAGAACAACAGCCCAGTCTTTCCATACATGCACAACCCAGCAGAGGCAAACCCAGCGGGGACAAACCCAGCTAACCCCGCTCTCCCTCCTCTCCAACTTGTCCAACCCTTTCTCCCCGAAATCAGCGACAGAGACCCACTTCCCCCCTGCGAAATCACAGCTGCCTGTGACCCCACAGCAGCAAGGGAGTAAGTTGCAGAGGTTACTGAGTTGCCTGCCTGCGTGGATCCCAAATTGCACAAGGAGTGCCTAGTCCCCAGTCAAAAGATTGGTTGATGGATTGGAAAACTCCCTGGCCTGGCTTGATGCCAAAGGAAGGGTGGAGCAGAGGGTGGCTGCAAGACGGGACATGGAAGGGCGGCACGGCTTGGACACGCAAGCTTCGCTTCCAGAGTGTGTGCCCATGGTCCATGGATGACCATGGCGTGTGGGCCATGGCGGCCCATGGGCCCCATGTGCCCCCATTGTGCATGGCGCATGGGCAAGTTGCGGCCTTGCACAAGTCGAGAGCGACATGCAATGCACACTGGTGTGGTATGGTACGGTATGGTATGGAATGGTCCGGTATGGTACGGTACAGTCCGGTATGGCCTGGCATGGCATGGCATGGTACGGTATGGTATGGAATGGTACGGTATGGTACGGTACAGTGCGGTATGGCCTGGCATGGTATGGTATGACACGGTACGGTACGGTACAGTATGGCATGGCATGGCATGGCATGGCATGGTATGGCATGGCATAGCATGGCATGGCATGGCATGGCATGGCATGGCATGGCATGGCATGGTATGGTATGGTATGGTATGGTATGGTATGGTATGGTATGGTAAGGTATGGTATGGTATGGTATGGTATATGCATGTGTGGAGAGGGAAGCCAAACAGGGCTTGGCAGAGTATGGTAACGTGGAGGCCATGTGTGTATGGGGAGGGTGTGTGCGTATGGGAGCGGTATGGGGGGAGCTGTGTGTGTATCAGGAAATCATTGGTGTATCTTCTTCAATGCACTCTCCGTCCTCCCTGGGCTGCCGCCATCCTCAAGCTGTGCCATGCTATCCCCTCCCCCCTCCCCCCTCCCCCCTCCCCCCCCTCTCCCTCCCCCTCAATGTTACACGCAGAAACGCCTTTGGCGACTTGCCATGCGGCATTCTCCATTCGTCCTGTGGCATCTCTACGGCCAACCACCAGCCATACAAGAACGTGGTGCGAGCATCGATTCACCACCACCACCACCCACACCACCCCCACCCCCACCACCAAGAACACTCATGCAGCGCCCACAAGGCACGGGTCAATGCCTGACGACTGCCACACCTGCGACCCTGCATCTGCCTCCTCCCTCCCTGCTCCAACCGCTGCTTCTCCCTCTCCCTGCCCGTTCACCTGCCCGTTTCCCTGCCCGTTCGCCTGCCCCTGCTTGTCCCCCTCCCCCTCCTTCCCCTTGCTGTTGGCATCACCCCTTGCCTCTGTACTCACTTTAGCTACTGCTGCGCCTGCTCCCCCTCCTCCCCCTCCTCCACTTCCTCCTGTTGCAGCTGGCGCTGCTGCTGCTGCTGCTGCTGCTTCCCCCTTTCCACCGGTTGGTGCTAGTCTGGGCGAGAGGAAGAACAGCGGCCTAGGGGACTTGGGCACAAGGGAAGGCGAGATGGGAGGGGCCATAGATGTTGCTGGCAACGCTGAGCTGCTGGTGATGGTGATGGTGATGGTGATGGGGAAGAGGAGGAGAGGAAAGGAGGAGGATAAGAATAAGGTGGGAGAAGAGGAAGACATAGCAGGGATTGGATATGGAGAGGTAAGTAACACACGGACAGCTGGGACAGGAATGAGCTTAATCCCGAAAAGCGATTTTTGCGGCGCCACAAAACCGTCTCATTCCTCGAGCAGGACGGGAAGAGAGGAAGACGAATACAAGGGGCGAATCAGACAAGGGGAAGGGGAGAACACAGGGACGGAGGCATGTAGAACTAGCAAGGTGGCTAGACAATGGAAGATCGCTGCAGCATTGGAGGAATCGCCTTTGAGAATTCCCAAAAGCGATTTCAACATAGCTAGGCTACGAAACATCTCTGCAACATTGGAGGAACACGTGATTCGTGCCGAATTCGCTCTGAATTCGCGCTGAACAGCGTTCTAAATTGGCATCAGGAGAGATGAGAACTCGCGCGACATTAGCAGGAAGAGCGTTCTGTGATGTACGGAATGTGTTCTGTTCTGAGGCACAATGGGAAAGACGAGTGTTTCACTCCGCAAAACAGTGTGTCAGTCAGTCAGTCAGCCCGCCCAGTACTACTAAACCCTCCCACGAGGTCCTATGTTCCTAACTTCCTACCCACAAGGTCTACCCTCCCCCGTCCCTGCCAGCGACCAATCCCTGTTCCCCACTCGCCCCCCTTACACCCGACTTGTTCTATTGGGTTGGCTTCGCCCCTCCTTCCACTAACTCATGATCGGCGTACCTGCCAGCAGCAACAGGAAGGTCAGCCGGCGCAGCAGGAGCAGGAACAGCAGCAGCGGCAGTAGTATTAACAGCAGGGGGATCTGAGGAAGCGACTCGGGGTAAGCCGCTCGCATCAGATTGACTGGTCACATCTAGGAAACTCGCGGTTTCCATTCGCTGCTCTGCAGGTATAGGAGGGGCAGTGGGGGCGGCTGCGGCTGTAAAAGAGGAGGAGAAGGCAGAGGAGGAGGCGGAGGACGGAGCAGCGTTGGCAGCAGCAGAGGAGGAGGTGGAGGTAGGAGGGGCAGGCCCGGAGGCTGATGCTGGAGCTTGTTGTGATGATGACCGCGCGTGTGCTTGTGCTGCCTCGTGGTCGCGGCTTGAGCCCCTGCGCACCCACGCGGGACTGGCAGCCTGGAAAGGGGGAGGTGGGGAGGGAAGGAGATGCGCGTGGGGAGAAGATAGGTAGAGAGAATGGGAAGAGGGGAGAGGGAAAGGGGGGGGTGGGGAAGGAAGGAGAGAGAGGGAAAGAAATAGAGGAACGGGAGGGGAGGATAAGGGGGTGGGGGGGTTAGAGGTAAGGGAGAGACGAAGGGAAGGAGACAGAAGGGTAGGGAGAGAATGCGTTATGAAAGACAGTGGCAGTGGCAGTGGCAGTGGCAACGACAGCTGCAATGATAGCGACGGGAACTACGATGATGACAGCGACAGGAAGGGAGTAGGAAGCAGGAAAGCACAGAAATACACGGCCAGGACTCGAGCGGATTGAATCTCCATCTGAGGCGCCTCAACAGAAAGGAAAAAACGGAATACATCTCCTTCCTTACCGCGCATGTCTGGCTGTGCGCGGGCTGATGCCTGTTCAAGCACTTGTCGTTGCAGTACACAGCCTGGCGGCACTTGGGGCAGCGCACGGGGTTGCTTCCGCCCACTCTCCGCGCGCACAGCGCGCACACCTGCCGCGGGTGCGACCTCCCCAGGATGCACCCGCTGGGCAGCCCGCAGAAGTAGGACGAAACGCCTCCTAACGTCGCGTTCGGGCTTCCCGGCGGGCTCATGTCGGCGGCGCGTGGGGACGCGGTAGGGCTCGCGGGATAGTCGTCATCGTCGCAACCCCCATTCTGCTGCTGCTGCTGTTGCTGCTGGTTGTGATGCTGATGCTGTTGCTGCTGATGGTGCTGCTGTTGGCGCTCCTGCTGCGGTTGGGCCGCTTGCGCGGGCGCTTTCCGCAAGGGGTGTAGCTCGCACAGGCATCCGGGCGCCGTGCGCGGGCCTGAACCCGACTCCGAAAGTTCCGCCCGCCTGACTGAATCCGCCCTCGGGGAACCTGCTTCCGCCGCCCCCACTCCGCCCGGCGCCGCGGCCTTGGGCGGAGAATGCCGCGCGCCACCCCCGGCTACGCCCATCGCCCCGTCGGTTGAGTGCCTGAGCGGGTGGATTGCGGAAACGTGGGCCGGTTCCGCCATACCCGCGCCATACGTGGCGGAACTATCACTGGATCGATGCGCGGGTGCAGTATCCTGTCGGTCCATGCGCATCAACGGTTGCGCCTGTAGCGCCGGTTGCTGATGGTTTTCCGGTTGCTGAGACGGCTGATGCTGCTGCAACAGCTGCTGCTCAAGCTGCTGTTGCTGCTCCTGCTGCTGCTGGAGCAGACTCTGTTGCTGATGCTGCTGCTGCTGCTGGTGGCGGGATTGACCCCCGGAAAACGCCGAGCCTAGTTCCGCCCACACGCTCAGGAGCGCAAGCCCGCCGCCGCCGCCGCCCCCGGCCCCTCCGCCAGTCCGCTCGTCCACGCGGCTCATGCTGCTGCTGGTCGGAAACACGCGCAGAGGCGAGCGCGGAACAGCGTCGGCAATCTCGGAGCTCGTCTCGCTGTCAACTAGGTCCCCCTCCTCCTCCTCTAAGATTGTCCGCGCAAGCCCTAGGGACGCCGCCCGCGGAGTTCCCATCCCCCCCCGCCCAGCGCCGCGGAAATCGCCTTTCTTCGCGGCGGAAGCAGCGGGACCGAGGAGCTTCCCAGCACCCGCCTTGTGCGCGATCCTTCGCTTGGGGGAGATGCCACCAGATTCTAGAAGCGCTGCTGCTGCTGATAGGGACGCGGAGGCACATGCGGATGCAGCTGCCGAAGCAGATGCGCATGCAGATGCGGATGCGGGTGTGAGTGTGAGCGGGGAAGACCAAAAGGAATTACCCTGCTGCTGCAGCTGCTGCTGCTGCTGGGTTGACAGAACCGCTACCCCTCTCCCCGTGCCAGCCCGCACTGGCGACAAGAGCTGGCGAAGCGGCGACGACACGTCGCGGTCTTCGCTGGTTGTCCCGCTGATGTCGCTTTCGCCATCGTCGCTCTCTCTGCTCGTTCCTTGTTCACTTTCCTGGAGCATTGACGAGCTAAGCACGACGGGAAATTGCTCGTCTTCGTCTCGCGAGCTCGAGCACCCCGATAAAGAACACCCCGATAACGAGCCAGCGATCCGGCTTCCATCCGTGGATTCGCATGCAGTCAGTTCTGTTAGTGACCCGCCGCTCGGCTCACGTAAAATTCCTATACGCATGTTAGGGTTAGAGGTGTGTCACCTTTGTGTGAAACACAAACCGTTTCGCTCGACGCTAAGGTTCTGAAACTTGACCAAAGGAAGATCAAGTCGTATCAACAATACGTGTTTGAAAAACTACGGCTGAGGGAAAAGCTCGAATGTGCAGGAGTTTCCACTGTATATGTTTCGAGCTGCTGTTGCTGATGCTGCTGTCGTAGCGAGTCTAAGCTAGAAGATAACGTACTGTACTTAAAACCGGAGGTCCAAGAGTTTCTAAGTTAGGAAGGTTGCAAGGGGAGAGCAAGGTGACTGGCTCGCGAGCCAGGGTGGTGTCGAAATCGGTGGTAGCGGGTCGCTAAGTATGAAAAAGTCGCGAGTGTAACCAGATCTGGAATGCTACGTCAGAACTCGTTCGCTGACTGTTTCGGGCGGGCTGCAAATTTGTTTGCGAAGTTGTCACCGCTATCGTCCTCGCCTGAACAGTAATTTTGCTTGGCGAAAATCGTCCCAACAATTTGCGAGGAGAGCTCGGTATCAACTGGGTCACACTCACTGCTGCTCCTACTAATTGGTGTGCCAACTGCACTGTCCAGGAAGGGATCGATCAAACCACCTGGTCTGACAGCACCATGCCTCCATTGTAGGTTTGGACTACCGAAGGAGGAACTTGAAAGGACGGCGAAAACAGGTTCGGAAGCAAGCAAAGATAAAACTGCGGGTTCTTCGGTTTGGTGGGGTTACACCTTCAACAGTGAAAACGAAGCTAGTTATCACTCGTGTAATTTATGGTCAGAAACACTATCTACACAACCCCACCACATCTGCTGCAGCATAGCAGCAAGCAAGTCATGCACAGCAGTTACACATGAACGCACAAGAAGTGAAACACGAGAGGGGGTTGGTTTTGGAAGGGAGGGGGGGGAGAGGGGGGTGAGAGGTGAATGGAGGAGGGGAGGAGAGGGAAAGAAAGAAAGAAAGCGGTTGTGTGATTCGTAACTTGTGAATCTCCCTCCAAGAGTCCAAGCGTTACACTCCCGCTTTCCTCCACCGCAAACACACACATGCGCAAGCTACATCGCACCGACACACGACGGGCGGGCAGCGAGCGATCACTCCAGCCACCACACCAACCGAAAAAGAGGACTATCCTAGTCCTGAGTTTTGCGGAACCCCGATCGTACAGTTCCTGGCAGGAAGACAGGACAAGACAGAAAGGATACAGCTGTCAGAATTACTGTGCTATTTAACTGTAACAATAATTTCACACCCGGGACCAAGACATCCCAAACCACCCAATTTGCCTCGGACCTACACTGCTGGTTACTGAGAATCATTCAGACCGCTTGTTGTTACAATGCCACCGGCAACAATACTATAATGTCCTCAACAAAACTACGTCAATGGTCTGGTGTGGGCTAGAACATAGGGAAGCTGAAGTATTTGCGGTACAACTAGTTTTCGGCACAGCACTCACCCCTGCCCAGTGACCATTGAATTTCATCTACTGCCTCGGGGGAACGTTGGCGGGACAACCGGGATTTTTACCCGAACCATTCTGTGATACTCCATTGCCAGCGGGATTCCGAAACGTGGCTGCAGCCTGTTGGGGTGAGACGTGTGTGGGTGAATCTTGTGTCAAGCTTCACCAGCGCCCAACCACACAATCCACGCTTCACCCACTCATTTTCTGACATCCCTCGACGAGTGTAACCTCGGTAAGAACAGGTGAATGGGAACTAAATACAATAGAAATCCAAAACAGTAGACACATGCCTCTTGCCATCCTGATTATTTTCTTGCTACTTGGCTTCTCCAACAACCCTGACACACCCCACCAATTGTCTGACAGTCCATAGACATGGAATAGGGGGCTAGTTGAAAAATAGCTGAATCAACATTATTTTCCAGCCATAAAACCGGTATCCACATTCAGTGACAAAGTACAGTATCCACACAATCTGTGAAGAACCGGTAGCAAGAATTTCAGACCGGCTCGGCCTGGATTGTAAGGGGCAATGTTGAAATGAAGTCCTTCGCATTTGCAGAGTTGAAGTCATAGCTGAGTAGCCTGTCCACAAGGTTCTGAATAGACAAAAATCTTGTTAGCAAACAAGGCTACCATAATGCAAGATACCACGGCGAAATGAGGAGTCCCACCTTGTAGCATTTATCCCTCCCAGATGTGCGAGCATTAGACAGCCTTTCAACAGGTATTCCCGCCTGAATCTTGGATTGGATTTCACGAGAGCGTTCAAGCACGGCTGGAGGAAGTCCTGAAATAACAATTTGAGATACTCCTTGGTATTCAGCAATATACGACAACACCAAATATCTAATCAGCTCACCTGCTAGACGAGCACAGTGTATTCCATGGCTGTCTAGGTTACGGCCAGGTTTAAGGCTGCAAACATAGGGGCAACCAAAATGTGTAAGAAGGCGTTGCATACTTGCATCGCTGTAACAAAACATCATACCGGTACAGAAATGTGATTTCGTTTGACCCTTCAACAGTTTCAGGTTGCTCCAATATAGCCATGGTGCAGAATGTAATTTGTGCAGACTGCTCACAAAGCCAAGGCAAGACGAATTAGTGGAGCTGAATGGCAAGCTGAGAAGTTACATACGGAGCTTACAGGATTCAGGAGGTTTTGATTCATGATTTCGCTGAAGTGGGTGCAAACCAGTAGCTTGGGTGGAATCGGTTGAGCTGCCATGAACCCAAGTGTGGAGCAAAGGAGACCTACACCATCTGCACAAATAAGAAGGAAAGAAAAGGTCGTGCCGTTGCAAAGCTGGACTGTAAGATAAAGGTTACCAAGTGGGCAACTGTACCTGCAACTAAAGTTCCCTTGCCAAACTCATCCACAACGCAAAGAGAACGTGATGTTGCAAGGCTGATCATTCTCGATACTTGTTTCAGATCGCTTGAAAACGACGACTGCTTGCTAGACCCAGATTCACAATTGCCAGCCCTTGTAAAGATTCTGCAAAAAAACTTGCCGAAAGTGAGGATAGATAAGACTGGCAACGGCTCGCCTTTCTCGTACCTGTCCGTGAGACCAATGATTGCGCTTTCAGCAGGTACGAAACTTCCCACATGGGCCAAAAAAACAATGAGAGCAACCTGCAGAAGAACCATCTTGAAAATGCTTTCTTTAAAAAAATAGCGAGAACAACTTGGTATACAAACCTGCTTGACGTAAATGCTTTTCCCAGAGAAGTTTGGACCCGTGATGACAACTATCCTGCCTGCCAAGAGGCATTGAAGCTGGAATTTGTTGAACAACACACAGAAACCGCGGATGAAGAAGAAAAATATACACAGCCCACCTGAATCTTGGTTGATGCTGGTGTTATTTGGAACAAACGTATCAACCACAAGCTCCTGAAGCAAATGCCTGAGGAAAAAGCAACGTTTTACATTCCCATGTTTATTTGCAAAGGCAACAAGATTGATTTACAATGTAGTCACCTTCCATTCGTAATCTTCAGCACGTTTTCCTTGGTTAGTCGCGGCTGCTTCAAATTGAATTCTCGAGCAGAAAGAGCCAGAGAAACAAGACTGGAAGCAGCAACACACATTGTAATAGAATATATTGAAAGCTGCAGTGAGTGAGAACCAGAATTTGAGCGGCCCTCTCACCAATCAATTTCAGCAGCCACCGCAAACGCCACAGTTAAAGCATCAGAGTGTTCAAGGACACGGCCCTCAAGATCACGAATAATCACACTCTCCATGTCTGGAACATACAATCTACAGTGTCAACAATATGCACGACATGGCAAAAACGGATATGAATGCAGCAGACATTACCAAGGATCTTGTGGAACACATCACCAAGAACCTGATCTAGTTCCCTGGTCTTATCCGTGTGGTAAAAAGAAGCAGCGCCATCACCGTTGTCACCTTCGAACTGTTTGAAACATTTGAGAATAATGGGAAAAATAGATGGAAAATGAAAGTGGCAAAAAACATCAATTAACTTACCGCAAACCGATAATCTAAAAGGCCCTCCATTGCTTCGTCAGAAAACGGTGGCCCTTCAAAACGCATCAAGTAACCTGCACGGTCCATGCCCAACGTATGATTCCTGTTTGTTGAGTTTAAACACAATACGTTTGGTTTATCACTGACCAACTTGAGGCATGTAGACAATTGAAGGCGACTCGGATGCTTCCGCCAAACCAGATGGCATCTTCTTCATCTCCTCTTGCACAACCTAAACAGAAAACGAGGGTTTGCAACCAGCAGAGATATGACAATGTTGTGATGACAGAACCGAGCCATACCTCTGTTAAGAAGTTGGGAAGCCCCTCATACAACTGTTTCAACTCGTCCAACTGCAGCAACAAAAATTAGCATTCGCACAAAACAGTCTAATGTCAATACTTGAGGTAAGAAACGGGCATACCTCTTGGCAAATGCCATACGCGACCATTGTTTCTTGTGACGTTCCACATACTTGGTCGAATTCAATAACTCCACTGATCTGTTGATCAACAGTTAAGCAAACAATTGATATTGGACACAGGCACACAGGTAGCCACCACATTGTGGATAGAACATGCTCTCGACTTACCAAATCCCTGATGTAGGTCAGATGATCACTGAATGCTTCAAAGACCTGCTTAAGTCAGCTTCAGTTATATTTTTTTCTTTCCACCTCAATAAATTATGTTTCAGCTTCTTAGTGAACGTAGGCACCTTTGGGATAAGGGGAAAGGCAGAGTTGCTACTTTTCTCAGCTTGCCACTGTGCTACAGTAACTTCAAACACTTCGCGGACTTCAAGCAGGTAGCTCACAGACTGCTCAGACATCAGAGTGTCAGTGGCTGCTCAAGGTTGCACTAAACTTCACAAAAAGACTACCCACCTCAAGTAGCTGAAGCCAGTCCTTACGGGTAACGATTGTGGTTGCTGATTTCAACTTCTGCAATCACAATAATTTTCCAAATCAGGATAAAAAGCATGCATAGCTGATCTATGGACCCATGATTGAGCCCTTAGAAAGCATCACCCTGAGAGGATAAAAGGTTCTTACCATCAACAGTTTTGGAATGTCCTTCACATGTTGAAGGAAAGAGTGCAGAGATGTGAGCAGCTCGGAAAAGGATGACAAGAATGATATCTGCAAATGATCTGCACCCTCTTAGCACGGTTGCCACACGAGAATTTCATTTGTAAAGATAACCAACTCACTGCTTGATGTCGATCTTGAATCACTTGCAAGTCCACAATTGGGCGCAGAAACCACATCCTGTAATCATGCAACCATCAGTCATAACAAAATCTTCACAGCATTTACGTTACAAATACGACTTACCTAAGCATGCTTCGTCCTCCAGCTGTCACACACTTATTCAGCAATCCAAACACAGAGAATCTGTTCAAAAACAAATATTGACAAGGTTATCACAAGCCCTTATGATAGATATGAAACGATACAGCAATGCCAACAAGTCTGATACCCTTCTTTAGTCTTGCCGATGCCCATAGGGCTGGGATGCTTGTCGCTCTGAAATATCTGCAAGCTGTTTAGGGTCCACGCGTCCACTGACAAAAAACCATCTCTGTTAAGAAAAGGAAAAACAAGAGGAAAGAGGTTAGAAACAGTTTTTTTTAAGATAATGAAGTCGTGTTTATTGACGTACAAATTCAGTTGGGAAATGCTGCCTATCCGAACTCCAAGAGAAGTAGAGTCTCCGTCATTGTCAGTGACCTCAACATTGTCCAATATCATTTCGTGCTGAAGTACCGTGAGCAGAGCACCCAGTGCTCTGACTTGCACATCGTCCTCCAGCCTGATCTTGGTGTTGAGCTACAAATTGAAAAAGAAACGAGTGAAAAGAAATCGTCAATTGATGTGCAAACGAACTGAAGGGTGACGTGTGCACACAGATACTGAACCGCCAGCACACGTACAAGTTGCAACCTCTGAGTTGCATTCAACCCCTGGGGCATGCCGCTCCACTGTAAGAACGTAAGTCTGCAATAGGAAGAAGGAAAGAAGGAGAAGGAAAGGAAAGAGGCAGGATGGAAAGATGAGATAAGCAAGAGGGAAGGAGAACGGAAGGAGGTAGGGTTCAAGTAATCAAACAGGAAGGCGGGAAAGGGAGTGAAGGAAATGGCAGGTGGAGGCTACTTGTGAAGGAAGGCGAGGGAGGGGGGGAGTTATATGCGTGAAACCTACCTGTTCTGAGCGTGCTCATAACTGAAAAGGTTGCTTTTAACAGTCTTCACAAAAAAAATGCTTCCACCTTCCTCAACTGCGGCAACCGGGAAAATCGTGAGTGCGCAACCGCCTAAGCTTACAGACTTATCCAGTCAAAACGCGAAGTACCTGGTGTTGTCAAGGCATTAAGAAAGGCCTTGTCTGATTTAGTGCTTGCGATTATGACTGTTGGCTGCTCCTGGAATTTTACTGCACCACCAGATCTGTTCTTTCACAAAACTGGGCGCCGAAAGGAGTTTCTCAGCATATAAACTACTTACACAGCTGTATAGTTGGAAATTCTCCTGACGCTGACTCTTCCCAGGTTTCCGTCGTCACCAGCTGTTGCGTTCCGGCGTTGTAACACGCAATACCAAGCCTGTCGGACAAAAAAAACTTGAAAATACACCCCCGCATCCGGCGCGACATTATAAAGAGCAATTGCTTACTTTTGCCCTAAAAGTATGCAGGCCATGAAAACCTGCACGGGAAATTATCAGCTCGGAAGAGAAACCAGATAGCACCGAATGTATTGTAATTGCTCCTTGCCTGCGGTGCGTCCACATCGATTGGGTCATCGCCCTCTGCAGCTTTGCTGGGAGACCTGGAGTCCTGAGCAGGAGAACCTGAAGCCATGGCACTGCTGGGAGGAGAGTGGAAGAGAGCCGAAGTTCGTGCTTGTTTGATCAGGCAGTTTGAAAAGTTGATGCGAGTTGACACCTTGAAGACCTCCAAACCTCCATGTGCGACGGCAATATCAAAGACCGCCAGATACAGACGGATTCGTGTACAGAACACCGAATAGAAGTACACCTAAAACATGGATAGACCCTTCGTGAATACAGAAAAAAGTGTTGAAGTTCAGATTGTCCAGCCTGTTGATAGGAATTGGAGAATTTGCACAGGTTGAAAAGTGTGTGTATTTCCAATCAAAACACAGTAAAACTGTATGCAGCATTCTATAGTAGTCTGAGAGTTGCAAGTTATGATTGCTTTCATTGCAGATTAGATTTTTACACTAAGGGACTTGATGCAGCATCAATGCAGCTCCTTGAACTAATTGATCCTGCAGCAAGTTTCCCTCGACTTCCGTCAGCAAGTTTAGCATCAGTTTTCGTCCTGCGGACAGGCGACTTCGACAATGGTGCGCAAAAAAGGTGGTAGTCACAGGTCAGAGGGTCGCAACCGGACCCGCGAGGACTACCTTCTGCATCCCCCTGAATCTATCATAGCCGATCCGCCGCCGCCATCCTCGCCAGGTCATGAGAGTGATGAGGATTCACACGCAGAAGCGACCGTCGCAGCAACGGCGGGGAAGTTGGAGGAAGACGAGCTCAAGTTTGTCCTGTATCAACGTGCGGTGCAGGTTCGTTCTCCGCATGCCATCTTTAACTACAGATTTTTGTTAGGCACCTCAAGAGTCCTCACATTTCAGCTCAATTTCCCGAGTTCTAAGCCATCTGTCTTCCTCCTACAGTAGCAGATTGGCGCTGAGCGGTAATTTTCGCTTAAATACACGTTTCAAGGCACATTTGCACACACCTGGCCTGTCCGCGGTATCATGCAACTCCTCCCCCTGGTCCCCCCTCCTCCCTGATCCGTTTCTCGCCGTGCCTGCAGTCCCCGCGCGGCGACATCAGCTATCTGCTCAAGTTCTTTCTCAACTACGTAGGCGGCCGCGTCCCCCAGCACCTGCACGAGGACTTCTGCGGCACCGCACTCATATGGTGTGTCCTGGGCGGCTCGAGTGCGCTCATTTAGGATGCTTGCTGCATTGTTGAAATCGTGTGTGCTCTTATGTTGTGTTACAGTAGCATCACAATTTTGCCGCTTGACTACCAGATTCTACACCACGAGAGATCCTTCATCTGCTCACTAAACCCTGAACCTCACAATGCACACCTTCATCTCTTTCTCGCACACACTTTCCCTCTCTCGTTCTGAACCTTCTTTCCCCTCACACCTCCTCAACACCAGCCTGTCCTCACCTCACCTGGTCCCTGCCGTATCTTCTCACCATAATCACCCTACCTTTTTCAATCAAACACGCAATCTCAAACTTTCCCCTTTACCATTCTCCCCTCGTGTTCCATCCACCTCCCTCCACCCCAACCCCCTCTCTCTTCCCGCTCTTCCCTCCCGCCAGAGCAGTGCCGAGTGGCTACGAGGAGATCCCCGTCGCACTGCCCTCGGTCTAGACTTTGACGAGCAGGCCCTTTCCTGGGGCATTCGGGAAAACTTTTCCAGCCTGCCCGGCTCGGCCCGCGGACGAGCATGCATGCTGCTTGGAGACGTGCGTGATCCGCTCACATCTGCCCGATTTGCGTGCCCGGACGTTTTAGACGAGCCAGAATGCAAGAACAAACAGTCAAGTGCAACCAGGGAGGTACAAGATTCAGGGGAGGGTGATGTTGCTGCTGCTGCTACCACTGCTGTAGGCCCCGTATGGCCGCAATTGGAAAGGCTGCGGCAGCAACGGGCAGACCTGATCTGTGCGTTCAACTTCAGCTCCTGCTGCCTCCTGCATCGCTCAGAGCTTCTGGCCTACTTTAAGAGCGCTCGCGCTAGGCTTGCAGGCGCCGCCGGTGGGAGTGCTGGGGAGGGTGTGGCAGAGAGTGGGGCTGGCAGTGGTGGTGGAGGAGGGGGAGGGGGAGGAGGGGTGTTTGCAATGGATCTGTATGGAGGCACGTCTTCTGAGGGGGCATTGAAGCTGCACCGCCGATATGGGGACATGGATGTGAGTCATGGGGGAAGAAGGGGGATGGGGGGTGGTTGAGCCTCTGCTTTGGGAGTTAGTTAGTACGTCTCACGTATGGCCCTGTTGTGATTGTCCTCAATTTTTTTTTTTTGGTACCATCTCCTTCTCGCTCTCTCGTGCTCTCTGACCCACGCGTTTGCTCTCTCCTCTTTCCAACTCCCATGTGTTCCTTATGTTCTGTGCATGCTACCAGTACACATGGGAGCAAGAGCGCTTTGATGCTGTGACTCGCACCACCCGCATATCCCTGCACTTCCGCGTGCCACATGACTGGGCGCCTGCCTCGTCCTCCGCCCATGCAGCAGACTCCACAGCACGCAGAGGTGGCAGGAAGCGGCAGCAGCCCAAGCGCGTGTTGCGCAGTGCATTCAGCTACAGCTGGCGCCTGTAAGTGAAGTGTATTGTGTTGCTTTTTGATTGCCTTGCGTCTCTTCTTTTGGAACTTGTGCTGATCAGTCGCAGTTTCAACATGAATGTGTTTGAGTTCTTCCACGAACGTGAACTGTCATTGATGACTCACCTTCAATGCTGGTTTCATGAATGTTTGTCACTGCTAACCATTCCCTCACTCTATTGTGTGATTGTCGCTCCAACTGTGCAGCTGGACAATTCCAGAGGTGCGTGAGTTAATGCAAGAGGCAGGGTTTGACTCTGTGCACGTGTGGATGCGCAAGATGCCGGATCTTGCCGACCGGGAGGACGAGGAGGAGGAGGTGGAGATGGATGAGCATGCTGCTTTTGAAGAAGTGGAAACGTTTTTGCAGACAGATTCATGGAATGCCTACGTGGTTGGGGTTGTAAAGCCGAGGAGAGGCAAGGCAAAAGAAGTGCATTCATAGAGAAATTAATGACTGTCTTGGTATTAAATCGCTGGATACTTGTGCCTGTGCTTAGCATATAAATGCTGGGTTGGCAGGCAGTCTAATCTAAATTCAACAAAATGCTTCTTAATACGTATGATGAATGAAACTTACTCCTCCAGTGTTCAAGTCGATAAGAACTTACCGAGGACGTGCTTTATCAGCGGTGCGTTTGCTCGTTACGAGTTCGCGAATCTTCAAGAGGGTGATCGCGGCAAACACGAGCAGTCGGTCCGAAAGCCGCATATGTAGGCGCATTGAAGCAGGGAAATTCATAGCATTTCTTTCTCTGGCAACTATGTTGTCTGGGTTGTTGGGTCCTACAGCCTATTTAGGGCTTACGTCGCATTCGTCCTGCTGATTACTAGGCTGCAGCACAACGTGTTTGAATGGCTCCGCTCGTGCACGCTGGTCCGCCATAGCAAGAAGGCGGGGAAGGGGGGGAAGGATCCACCTAGTGCGCCACGATGCGGTCAAGGGGGAGGGAGAGGGAGAGGGGGAGGGGAGCGGAAAGGGAGAACTTGCATTCTGGCGGGAAAAGCACGGGGTCTGTTTGGTGGATTTGGGTGTCAAGGCGCGGCCTTGGTGCTCCCAGCACTAATCTGGCGCAGAGGAGGTTCAGGCTGACACGAGCGGTGCTGTTAATGGCGCTGGCGATTGTGGCAGGGCTGGGGACCTTGGGTCTGCTGCTGCTGCTGCTACTGGATTTTGGTCTGGCTGGTAAGAAGCAGTTTGCTACCCTGTTTTCATTCTTCATTGTACGTCGCGACAAAACAGTGCTTGGGCAATCATAGCTTGTTTTTAGCGAGTAAGAGCTCTTTTCTCTCGGCTTTCTCAACCCGCGTGTCCGTCTTGAATAATGAGAAAATGCTCCCAATGTATCTTCCTGCTTTCCGGTGAGGCGCGCTGGGCGTCAACAGATCGTCTCAACAGATCGTCCTTACGACCGACACCAACCTCTTTCTGTGTATTCATCCCTTCCCTAACTTGAAACATCTCCATTTTCATGAGGAAGGACAAGCGGAGGGAGGAAAAGCAGCAAGTGCAGCTGGGAGCTTGGCTGTGGTTCTGCCGGCATGTGCAGTGCAGCTGTCGCAGCCAGCTGGCACGGAGTGGAAGCAGGCTGGTGCTGACGTGGACATGTGAGCGGTAATCCCCGCGCCAGATGGCCTGGCATGTTCCACATGGCGCTGAGACTGTTTTGCATCTCATGACATGGCATGGTATCACAGCACATGGCATTCCTCCCACCCTATCCCATCACTTCGCACCATGTTCCGTCCTGTGTCAGAGCATGCTAGTGTGCAAACATGCGATTACAGTGTCATTCTTTAGTCTCTGACCATCTCACACCTGACCATCTCCCAACCATCTCACTCCCACTGACCATGGGTGATGTTTCCTGTTCTGGGTGGCTGTGTGCATTGGAGTAGGTGATGGGGTATGGGCATAATGTGAATAATTGTGTGTGTGTGTGTCTCTGTGTGTGCGAGTGTGTGCGGTGGGCATGGTGGGTATGTGTATATGCGTGAGTGTCTGTGTGTATTGTGTGAGCGTGTGTGCGTGTGTGCAAGTGAGTGTGTGTGTGGCCATGATGTGAGCGTGTGTGCATGCGTCTGTGTGTGTGTGTGTGTGTGTGTGCGCGTGCGCGTGTGTGCGTGTGTGTGTGTGTGGCAGGGTGTATGTATCACGACATCCCATCACACATGCTGGTGTGCAGGACGAGCAGCACCAACAGCGTCACAATTCCGAACTACACTCGCCATTGCACCTACCTGGTTACCCTCCTTCTGCTCCTCCTGCTTCCAATTCTGCCACTGCTGCTACTGCTGCCACAGCACCCAGTCCCTCCCCCACTGCTGCTAAGCAGGAGGCATTTCTGGTGGCAGCATGGGCTGACACGCACCACCAATTGAGCCCTTTCCCTGCTGCACCTGCCACACCTGCTGCTGATGCTAGGGCCGGGGGGGTGTGGAGAGCGGGAATGAGGGTGTGGAGGAGTAGGAGGGCCTTGGCTGGAAGGTGGCTGAAGCGAAGCGCTGCAGGCAGCAGCGAAGCTAGCAGCTCGGGCAACCCCAGCCGCAGGCCCAGCAGCAGCACCAGTCGTGGGCTGATCAGTAACAGTGGCAGCACGGCCACTGCTACTGAAACCACGGCGAGCACCTGCAGTGCTCACTCTTTGCAGGAACTGCCTGCTCGTGTCGTGCTGCTGGTGGCAGGGAACGATGCCTTTGTAGATGGGGTGGACGACTGGCAGGCTCTTGTGTGTGTGCAGAAGCGAACCCTGTGCCGTGCATGCAGCAGCATGTATAACACCGGTGACAGGTTGAACATGACTGCAGTTAAAAGTGGTTGTGCCAGCCCGTGTGATACAGGCCGTGCAGAGGTTTTGGATCATGAAGGGTGGGGAGGAGAAGGGGCGGAGAGTGGGGAAAGAGAGGAAGGGGAGGAGAGTGGGGAGGGAGGGGAGGGGGAGTGGGTATGTTGGCGCAGTGGGCAGTGCTGCAGTCTCACAGATGAGGACGACATGCATGGGCGGCGGCATCAGCAGGTGCAGGTGAGACGCACGGCTAAGGATGGCCCGTGCATGTTTTCTTTGCTTTTGGCAATTCAAGTACTGAAACAAAGGGTATTTTTGCCAAGGGGGTGCTTACCAGGCTTGGCGTTCTTTAGACTGGTAATGCTGACTCATACTTTGCTTTGCCACATGCTTCTCATGTGTCTCCCAACTAGTCATGCCATGCCATGCCCTGCCCTGCCATGCCATCTCATGCCATGTCATCCATCCCATTTCATGCCATGCCATGCCATGCCATGCCATCATCTCTCCCTGCAGATGCACTGTCCTCTGCCGGTTCCAGTTGCAGCAATTCACAATCAGCCCTCTGGGAGCACATCAGCAGCGCCCCTTGTAGTGGCAGTCACTCTCCTCCACCGCCTCACCACTGATACACACCTTGCTGCCACCGCTGCCAATACTGCCAATGCTGCAGCTGCTGCCACCGCTGCAGCTGCTGCCACACCTTCCTCCTGTGCTCTCAGGAGCACCACACGTTCAGAGAAGAGTGCGAACAATAGCCATGGCATCAGCGATTCAAGCCCCAGCAGCCACAGGAACAGATCAGGCACCGACAGCAGCAGCGATAGTCTTGAGAGGAACAGTCTGCCGTTTGTGAGGTTGAACTGGATCGGCAGACACGAGAAGCAGGCTGGTTTGAGTGGAAAGAAAGGTCCGCCAGGAGAAGGTGAAGCCGCAGCAGGAGCTGCAGCAGAAGCAGCAACAAGGGAAGGGAAAATGGAGGATGGTAGTGGATTTGATGGGGGAAATAAGGAGCAAGGTGGTGAGAGTGGTGAGAGTAATGGGAGTGATGGTGGAACTCTTGAGCTCACTGTGTGCACGGGCCCTCTCTTCTTTGACATCTCAGTAAGCCAAGCCGCTCATCTCACGTAACTTGACATTCCTTTCTTCGCCGTAACTCGCCCTCACTCACTAGTGGGCCCCTTGAAACTCACTGTGTGATGTGCTGGCAGTTACCTGCTCTTGTCATCACGTGACGTTTGTCTTTTGTATTTCACTGCAATCGTCTCTTGTGTATGCGTGCTGTCTCTTCAGAGAACTTGGTGTTCCATCATCCCGCTTTTCTGACTCAACCCATTCTCCGGACCAAACCACTCCTCCGAACCAACCCACTCTCTGAACCAACCCATTTCTACGAACCAACTCACTCCTCCGAATCAACCCACTCCTTTAAACCAACCCACTTCTCTACTCACAATATTCCTCCTCAAAATCCAACTCTTCCCACACCCCTCCCTTCTTCCCACTCTCCTTTTGTCCAACATCCCCTTGCTCTCACAGCCCCTGTGGCTGGAGTGGCTGCACTTCGTGCACCTCATGGGAGCACACCACGTCACAGCATACGTCATCGACAACGATAGCTACTCCCTCTCCTCCCTCTCCCGTGCTCTCCTCCGCTTCTCCGCCCTCCGCTGGCCCGCCTTCCTCTCCCTCGTGCTCTGGGACCTGCCTTTCACCGAGGTATGGAATATTTGAAACTCCCCCCCCCCCCCCCCGTTCCGCTCCCTCCTGCTCTGTACCCTGCCTTTTACAGAGGTATGGAATCGAGGAAATCACATCCCCTGACCCTCAGTCTGTTCCGCCTTAATCTGTTACCTGCCCTGTACCAAGGAATGAACTTTGGTGACTAATTTCCCTTTCCAGACATCTCAAAGGTCTCCCACATGCTCACTCTTCCCCTCCCACTTCTCTCTCACTTCTCTCTCACTCCTCTCAATCCTCTTGCAATCACCAGGTGAACGGGCTACCCAACCAGCGGCCGTCTGGTGTGGACATGCACTACAGGGCCCAGCGCCTCTTCCTCCTTGACTGCTACTGCCGCTCCCACCCCCACTCTCCCTCTCACTCCCGGTCTCCCTCGCACGCCCTTCTCTTCCTTGACATGGACGAGTTCCTGGCTCCGCCCTCCTTCTCCCCGCTGCTGCTCAAGAGCCTGCCATCACTGGAGAGCATACCTCGTACCTGCTCTGAGTTGGATGATGCTGCTGACAGGCGCAGCAGTAACAGCAGCAGCAGCAGCAGCAGAAGCATCTGGAATACAATCCTTTCTCCTGTGAGCCTAACTTTGCATGGAATCTTCTTTCTTTGCACTCTCGGCTTCCCTCCTTTTGTCTTTTCTCCAACCTTTTCACCTTTTACACTCTCTCTTCTTTCTCCAACCTTTTGTCCTCTGCATCACCCTCTCTTTTTTTCTCCAACCTTTTCCACACCACTACCATCAGCTACGCCTTCATCTCACCACCGCCATCTGTCTCCTCCGAGGCTTGTGCGACCCTCACATGCCACTCCTCTCTCCCCTCCCCGTTCCTCCCATCCCCCTCTCTTCCGCCTCCCCTTGTCTCCTCACCATCGTCACCACCAGCTACTCCGTGATCCCACCACTGGAATGCTTCTCTTCCGCAGCTGGTGGTATCCGCATGTGCCCGCTCCTCCCTCACCTCCTCCTCCGTCGTCCCCTGATGCTGCTGCGTTTCTGCACATCCCAACCCAGGCAAGTGTTCCACTCAACTCTAATTTCCTCCCCGCATCTCTTTCTGTCATCAGAATACCAAGCTCTCTCTTCCCCGCACGCCCCTTTCCACTCTCTTTGTCTCCCCACCCTTTCTCTTCCTTTCACTCCCTCATCCCATTCTGTCATTTATCGTGTCTCCCTATAACCCCTCCCCTTCCCCCATGAACCCGCCCCTTCTTTATTCCTGTTCCTTCATGCATTTCCTTCCCTTACTCCCATGCGCTCCTCTCCACTCTACTTCTCCTCACCATTCCCGCCGATCTGCCCTCTCCTCGCCCCATTCCCTCCCATTCTTCCAGCCACCCCCACTACTGACAGCAAGCAGCACACAGCGGGACCGGCGCATGTTTCAGAACCGCCAGCGAGCCAAATATGCCACCCCGCTGGGAGGAGCCATTGCCTTCAGCATACACCGCCCCGTGCTCGTGAGTGCTCGACGATTGATGTGTATTTTGTGTTTGGATGTAGCTATCGTGGCTTTCACAGTACCGTACAAGCTTTTACTTGAAGACCCCAATGTACTTCATATTTTATTCTTTCTTTATCTTCACTTCTTTTACAGCTGTCAAAGGGCAAGCTCCTTGTGGATGTTCCAATGGATACAGCATACATTCGACACATCACATCCCCGTCCACCTCATTTGCGGTCTACCAGACTCCCACCAATGGTTCTCACTATGAATTTACCCTCCCTCCACTTGAAAAAGACATGTCAATGCTTGATATTGCACCGATATTGCGCTGCCAAGTGGACACGACATGGCAGCATTTTCATGAATGGGCAAATCAAACACCTAATGATGCATTTAGGCCTTTGTAGTCATACCGTATTATACACGTCATTGCAGCTCCTTCAAGCCCTTACGTGGATCAACGCACCAGCAGAATGCAAGGCACATGAACTGCTACATGGTACACTGTAGTTACTGACACATGTACACTGATCCGTCCCACATTACACTCCTCAGCTTCCACTCAGCAATCCTCGTATCTTTCTCGGTTCGAATAAGGCGCACACGAACTCTTTTCCTTGTGACCTGCTGCACTTTTATCAGATCAGGCATCTGCTTCAAAAGCAGCACGAGCCGCTGATTCACACGAACCTTTCGCTTGGCGGGCTTTGGAAGACCGTGGTTCTTCAACAGCACTCCCAACTGCTTCCGCGTCTTCAATCTCAGCCGTTCTTCCAGCTGCTGCAGGGAAATCCAGTGCCTGGATGCACCACCTTCTTTTGGCAATAGTAGATCCTCTAGAGCTGCATGAACAGCAACTCTTAGCCTTGATTGGATAAGTCCAAGAGTTTGCATGTTGGCTTCCGACTGCACAAGCGAAATGTTAAAAGGCTTGTGCAGGTCTTCCCTTGTAAAATCCACAACACCTTTTAGCGCAGAAATCAACTGATGCTGTCCTTTGAACCCGTGGTCTTTGTAGCTGAACTGCTTCCCAAACACAGCATGATACAGCTTGTAAAATTGCTGGATGTTGCATGATCCATGAGCACCAACGACTATGACAAACTCGTATTTGAGTCGTGCAAGTTTTGGAACATTGCTCGTGAGAGTTGGCAGTGTCGAGCTTGTGGAGGGGTTGTGCGTGCTGGAATTGGTAGGGACCAACTTAAGAGACGCTTCTGCAGATGATGGCATGAGGTCAGTCCTGCCGAGCAAGAAACCGCGCATCATGACTGAACCTGCTCGTACCTCACTGGATTGCACGGACACGTTGGACTGCAGTAGAGCAGAGCGCCAGTTCTCACTCTGATCCTGGTTCTGCTTGGTGGTTAAGGAGAATAATGTGACTACTCTCACTCCCGTGCGAACCAAAGTTAAGATGAAAGGGAAGAAATCCTGATCTTGAGAAATTATGACCACAAACGGATGCTAAAAACTGCTTGGGAAGCCAGGGGTGAGATATGCACATACAGTTCTGAATAAGACAAAAAAGGCAGGGTGGTTGGAAAAAACGGAAAGAACATGAGGATTAAAAAAAACTACATGTACAACACTTACTTGGTCCCCGTGCAGTCCCGTCCAGAGTTCAGAAGGCATGCAATCTCCCCGAGCAAGAATCTTTCAGCGTCCTTTTTAATGGCGTTGTCTGCCATGTTTCTTCCAGGCGGAACTACCACCAGCTCAACGTTGCAGCGCCGAATTTCTCTTTGCTTCTTGAAGCATGTGTCCTGTCCGTACGCTCTAATTAGCTGCACGTCTCCTAGACCGTCCGCAAATTTTTGCAGCTTGCAAACAATTTGTGAGGTCGACGCATGCTTTGGGACAGGAAGATTCTCGTAGTCCCAAAACACACCAACAGGAGCTCGATTCGTTGCCGGAGAACTCCAGGTAGAGCTCAGCTCCTTGAACGTGCTTAGAAGATCACAGGCGCTGGTAAGATGTCGTTCTTTAGCCATTCCTTTGCATCGAAGAAGCAAACTTACTCTTCAGAGTGAGTGTTCAGAGCGATGAATTGTTCAGTCTGGTCTTCCTCGACGCTGGAAAAGCGGGATCGTACAAAGCACGTAAGTCCATGGTGGTGGTTGCCAGAACCCCAGAGAAACGAAACCTCGAGAACCCTCATAGGTAATATGCGACCAAAGGAGGCTCACCGATACAGGCTTGTTGTACGGTGCGAATCTCGTTCTAGGGTGCTCTTTAAACAAGCCACCTACGCGCCGCTATTCTTGTGATGAGAAACCCATCAAGTGCTGCTTGCAGGAACGAGACGATAGTGCATCCTGTTGGAGAATCGAGTCTCTGCCGCCCCAGCCCTTTGCACACAAGGAGCAGCAAGAATGTCGGCGACGGATTGAAGGCTTCGCGAAAATTCAGAAACTTCCGCAGCAAATCAGATTACAGCCGAAGACTCGATATAGTTCGGGTTTGCTCTCAAACAGAAGGGTCGACAGTTTCTACAGGTTTCTACAAAACAGAATCAGCTATAACAGTACATTCCAGAGATTTCTTATTCATGCACCTCATGTGGCTCTCAAGTCACTCAAGGTTCATGGAATCTGAATTGTGCCCAAGTTCCCAAGGAAGTTGCCTTGTCTAGCAGCCTAGTTTGAGCTATCAATCTGCATGTTTGTAATGCTTAAGAAGTTGTGTTTTAGTGGGCTTGTTAATCTTGATCATAGTGAAGTTTTCTCTCATCAAGCCAAGTCCAGCAGCTCTGTTGAGCTTTTCCAGCCAAGTTTCCAGCCTACCAGTCATCAAAGCTACTCTGTTTTGCAAGTCATCCATGGATAATCTGCTTGCATGCAGATTCTTTCATGTGATCTTCAGACATTTGAGAGGAGATACCAGAGTTCTGACACACCAGACCGAAATCGTGAGTATCGATCGCTAGAGCTGTGTTCCAAACCGCGTAGGACACGATCGCCCTCGAGATCCATTTCTAGCGGGGATAATAACGTTTCTGAGAGCTGTGAATGCTTGAAGCGGGGTTTCAGTGCGGTGGCGGATCGATATTGGACGATCTTACAGTGTCGTAGTTTACGCGAAAACTCACGGAGCGAGGATACACTAGTATTCACGAAATCGCGAAGCCACTGTACACTACACAACAATTTTCTTGCAGGCTCGATGTGTCAAATGTGACGCGTCCTAAGGACGTGGACAGCCACGACATTTGCGTGATCGATCCGCTTGAGGTTCGGGTTTTATCCAGGTTTAAAACGGTAAAGACAACAAAAACGGGTTTCCAGTATGGTGGCGGATCGCTGTGGACAGTCGATCGCCAAAATCTTTGCCAGTGTCCACGTCCACTGCACTATTGCCCTTGTACAATCCATTGCACTGCCCTTGTACAATCCATTGCACAAGTTCCCATCCATACTGTCAACTGCTTTCACACGGAGTGTTGGACACCTGTTTTCGCCAACTCTACGCCTATTCCCCTCCACCATTTGATCGCATGGCTCCTGATAACGCTGTCCTCGCCGTCGATCAACGGCCGCCGATTGATCTCCTCTCGGACGACATTCTCTGCTCGATCCTTCGCGAAATCGCTTCGGACGGCTCAAGTTTCTCACACGCATTCGTCTGTCGCCGGTGGTTCCGCCTCGCGCTCCTCGCGCAATCCGCCATCCGTCTTCCCCCCGACCGCTGTCTCTCCGCGCGCACGCTTCTTTCCGCCTCCGCGCGGTTCCCGCACCTCACGGCCATCTCCGCGCCTGATCGCGCGCTCGGGTTCATCCCCCTCCGTTTCTTCCGGGATCTTCCAACGCAATGTCCGGAACTGACCAGCCTTCATCTCGGCAAAAGAATGGTCATGTTCGGTTTACTCAAGAGCGAGGATCCAAGGGAAACTGGGGAGGATATTTATGGAGGAGTACGGAATTATTTCCGTATGGAGTCGATTTCCGTTCCGTACGTTAAGGATGGAGATATACAGTCGCTAATCAGCTTATCTTCGAAGCTAAGGGAGTTACACTTGGAAGAATGTTTGGAAAACGTTATGTGGTTACCACAAGCGTTGCCTAGCCATGGCTGCCTGGAGCAGCTGCTGCTGAAGTGCTCCTCCCTGACCTCCCTCACACTCCCTCCGCCGTTCTCTCCTCCTGACAATCTCTCATTTCCCAATCCACTCACCAGCCCTAATTCCCGCACACCCCCTAATTCCCTCACACCCCCTAATTCCCTCACCCCCCCTAGTTCCCTCACTCCTCCTACTAGCACCCGCTCTCCCTCACCTGCCACTGGAGCCAGCGCGACCAAGCGAACCGACCTCCACCGCTTGGCACTCCCCCTCTCTCTCCGCCATCTGCACTTACAATGCCCTTCGTTACAGTCACTCCCGGACTCCATTACCCTCCTCTCCTCCCTCACTCACCTCAGCCTCGTCTCCTGCTCCTCCCTCCGTCTCCTCCCTCCCTCCATCAGCATCCTCTCCTCCCTCACCTCCCTCACTCTCGACAACATTCCCCTCCTTTCCTCCCTCCCTCAATCTCTCGGTTCCCTCTCCTCCCTCGTTTCCCTCCACCTCTCCTCCCTCCCATCATGCACCGAGTTTCCAGAATCCATTGGGGATCTCCACTCATTACAAGAACTCTCCGTTAGTAACTTTGGCGAGCTACAGGAACTGCCGTCGTCCCTCTCCCGCCTCTCCTCCCTCCGTCGCCTAACCATCGTCAATTGCGACGATTTGATCGCGCTGCCCGAAGGTTTCGGTCAGCTTGAAAGTCTGGAAGAGCTGACCGTGCAGCAATGCCATTGGCTGGAGTATCTACCCGCTTCTTCCTCCTCCCTCTCCTCCCTCACCCAACTGACCATCAACGACTGTAACTGCCTGACTCGCCTTCCTTCCACACTTGGCCTCCTCTCCAATCTCAAGTCTCTCAAACTATCCGACCTCCTCCTCCTCTCCTCTCTCCCCCCCTCACTCTCTCACATGAATCACCTCACCCTCCTCTATCTGCACCGCTGCGACTCTCTCTCTAGCTTTCCCCCCTCTCTCTTCCACCAGCCGTCCCTGGAGCATCTAACAATAACCAACATGAAGCACCCTGTTCTCTCCTCCCTCCCCCTTGACTTTGGCCACCATTTACCCCGTTTGAAGGAGCTTCGTTTGGCTGAGTACGATATCAACATGCAAAACCGACCGAGGCTCAAGGCGCTACCTCCCTCGCTCCCCCAGCTTGCCTCCCTTGAGCTTCTCTCACTCGCCTCCTTCTCCCACCTCTCTGCCCTTCCAGAAGACATTTCCCGCCTCTCTTCCCTCCACACACTAGAAATTAAGGGTTGCTCTTCACTCACGGACCTCCCACCCTCACTTGCCTCCCTTCCCTCCCTCACTCTCCTCCACATTCACAATTGCCCGCGCCTCTCCTCGCTTCCCTCCTCCCTCAGTGCCCTCTCCTCATTGCAAAGGCTTAAGATTGAGCATTGCAGGAGTCTCCTGTCCCTCCCTCACTCACTCCCGCTCCTCCCCTCCCTTCACACGCTCCATCTCTCTTCCTGCCTCTCACTCTCCTCCCTTCCTCCTGAAATATTCCTCTTATCCTCCCTTCACGCACTCTCTCTCTCAGACTGCTCCGCGGTATCCCACCTGCCGTCCTCTCTCCCTCTTCTCCCTTCCCTCCACACGCTCTCTCTCTCCTGCTCCAGCCTTATGCATCTTCCCTTGGAGTGTGGTTCTGAGCTGGGTGGCAGTCAGTCTGACAGTGAGGAAGGAGGAGCAGAAAAGGCACCACTAGCAGCAGCAGCAGCAGCAGCAGCAGCAGCAGCAGCAGCAGCAGCAGCAGCAGCAGCAGCAGCAGCAGCAGAAGGAGCAGAAGCGGTGGTGGTGGTGATTGCTGGGAAGGAGCAGGGGGGTGTTCCAAGTGAGGATGTCACAATTGAGGATGCCACAAGCGGGGACGTTACAAGTCAAGAGGGTGTCAATACTGGTTTGCCTCGAGCTGTCCCCACTTCACCAGTCACCACAACAGGCGCCCTCCTCACGACACCCATCCCCACTTCACCCGGCACAAAGGTTCTGCTGCGGTCGCTGCAACACCTGGTTCTCTCCAACAGTCACCATATTTCCCAGCTGCCTCCCTCCCTCACACTCCTCCTCCACCTCTCCCACCTCACCCTATTCCACCTCCCGCTTCTCTCCTCCCTCCCCACAGACATACACCACCTGCCCTCCCTCCAGGAACTCAAGATTGATTCTTGCCATGCCATCTCCTCCCTCCCCCCGACGCTCCTCCTCCTCCCGTCCCTCACACACCTCGAACTGGACTGCCTCAATTCACTCAACTCCATCCCTTCTCCCCCTGTCCGTCCACCCCCCTCCCTGTCTCCCACATCCTCCACACGCTCTCGCTTCCCGATTCGCTCCATTGTTCTGCGCTCCCTGAGGCTGGTTTCGCTCCCCTCGTGCTTCCCACTCCTGCCCCATCTCACGTCTCTCTACCTGTTCGGTATGCAACAGCTGCGCTCAATTCCTTACTCCTACACTGATGCTGGTGATGGTGATGATGATGATGGTGCTAGTGATATTGACGCAGCTGGTGATGATGATGTTGCCGCTGATACTGCTGGTGATGATGATGCTGCTGCGGGAACAGAGCGACAGGGGGGGGATAGTGGTGCAGATGAGGAGGAAAGAGAGGGCTCTGAGGGTTGGGGGGGGAGTGGAGAGGACGAAGCAGAAGTGGAGGGAAGTGAGGGAAGCAGGGAAGATGAGGAGGCTGAAACATCCGATCTGAGAGGGAGTGATTCAAGTGGAGGAACGAGGGCAGGCGGAAAAGCAGCAGGGGGGATTAAGGGAAGAGGGCGGTGACGACGATGCTGCTGCTGGGGGGGGCAGTGAAGAATCGGAGCATCAGAGTTTGTGGCACGATCTGTTGCAGTATGGGGAGCTCATGGAATGGCGGAGCTTGCAAAAGTTGACTCTGGATTTCTGTTGCAACCTGGAGTACTTACCTCCCTCGTTACAGTATGCACCACAGTTAAGGGAAGCGCATGTTCGGAATTGTATACGTCTTGAAGGGGAACGTGGGATATGGTAGGCTGTGTAGTATAGTTTTTGGCTGATATTAGATTGTCCTGTCTGGCATGGTATGATGTGTGAGGGATGGAGGATTTTTTTTGTGGATGGTAATCCACCATTAGCTTGAGCAGGAGAAAGTAATGAATCAAAATGAGCGGGCGTTAGTCAATGAAATGCTCTTTTGTTGGAAAGTGGATTGAGCAGGGCCTCAGATTCGTTTGGGGGTGTACACTGAGGCCTCAGGGCAGTTTTTAGGAAATCAGAATTCGCCCTGATTTGTCAGGGCTGCACAGGGTGAGGTATCCTGAAATGCCAGTGCTACATTTAGTAGTATGCATAAAATTTTTGTGCCACAACTAGTGATAGGTGAAGTGTCGTAGCGGGTTAAGTGACAATGCGATTCCCGCTGGCTCCTATGTGGAGGTGCTCGCCCGTTCATATTTTAGGCCCCAAAACCCAGGAGATTTTTCGTACAGTACATCTCGCCTCAGAGCGAGATTCGACACTATCCTGACTCATCAGGGCTGAACCTACAGCCTTATCCTGAGCTTTCAGTACGCAAAATAACCGTTATACTGAAATTACAGGACAATTATTCCTGTTATGCTGTTTCCCCAGGAATAGCACACGACACCTATTCTGAATTCAGGAGAATCAGGATAAATTATCCTGATAACTAAGGCCCTGGGATTGAGCTTCTGCTAAACATTCTGGTGACCTTTCAGTTGAGCATTTTCTCCCTTATATAATTATAATACGGTACACCCGATTTGAGCTTCGGTTGTGGATTGTAGTATCAGGTTCAAGATGCTGCACCGAACCGAGGATTTTTTTTTTGAAGTTATATTTCTGGTGGTAACCAGTTTAAGGGGTATCCATTCCTAGGGCGTTGTTTTGCAGGCGTTTAGGGTTCCGCACCAATTTGACCGCGGTAGCCTTCCGTGCATTTTCTAGGCGCATTCATGCTGGTTGCGTTGCGCGGATGTTGCTGCCTCGCATAACATGTGCGGAGGCTGATGCTAGTTCCCGAGGTAGAATTAGCACCGCACTAGTTGTGCGGCCATTTGCCCGGCGAAGCAACAACTTCGAGCCTGCAGACGGTTAAATTCGTGCGCCCCAAAAGTGGCGTTCTGCAGGCTGATGCGTTGAATTTGGCGCAAACAGGTTCGGCAGGACATTTCTTATCACCAAACCTCGATAGGCAGAAGACCCCTTATCAAGGAAGATTCTGCGGATCCAGTTTTTGGAATTCTAACGCCTACAGAACAGCGTCTAGATAAGCACGTGCTAACTCTTCTTGGGGCCTGGCAGAACACGCCTGCACGGGGGTGGGTTAGATCCCAGGACTTCATCTATCGGAAGTACCTCTTTCTACTGACTAGGCCACTTCTGGATGCACCAAACCGAGGATGGTCTATTGGTATCATGCGGAATTTCAAAGGCAGCCAGAGCTGCAGGCGAAACCTTGCCACGGGCAAACTGGTTTTGAGTTTTCGAGGACTTCGGTTTGCGAACGAGTCGAGGACCTGACGGTCACACACAACCTCAAGTTTCATCGCCTCCTGGTGACGTCCAATTCTGACCGTCGATATCGATCCTTCCAGCTGCTGCCTCTATCCCCGCAGCTGGCGGTTACCTGCGTTCGCCTGTTTCGCCCGTATGCGCCCGCTAGCACAATTTTCGAAGGCAGGGTGCATTGGTCTAAAGGACCTACATCTATAAATCTCCACCGTCCAATCTCATGGCTCCTGATAACGCTGTCCACGCCGCCGATCAACGACCGCCGATCGATTTTCTCTCCGACGACATTCTCTGCTTGATCCTTCGCGAAATCGCATCGGACGGCTCAAGCTTTTCGCACGCTCTGGTCTGTCGCCGATGGTTCCTCCTCGCGCTGCGCCTGCAGTCCGCCATCCGCCTTCCCCCCGACCGGTGTCTCTCCGCGCGTGCGCTGCTATCCGCGTCCGCGCGCTTCCCGCACCTCACGGCGATCTCCGCGCCTGATCGCGCTCTCGCGTTCATCCCCCGCCGTTTCTTCACGGATCTTTCGGCGCATTGTCCGGGACTGACCAGCCTTCGCCTTGGCCAAAGGAAAGTTATGTTCGGTTTTCGAAGCAGTTTGGAGGAACCAAGGCGGACGGCGGCGTATACTATTCCAGTCGTAGGACGAAGATATTTCTGTATGGAGTCGATTTCTGCTCCGTACGTCAAGAACGGGGATATTCAGTTGCTAATCAGCTTATTGCCGAAGCTAAAGGAGTTACACTTGGAAGAATGTTTGGGAAACGTTATGTGGTTACCACAAGCGTTTGCTAGCCATGGGTGCCTGGAACAGCTGCTGCTGAAATGCTCCTCCCTGACCTCCCTCACTCTCCCTCCGCCGTTCTGTCCTCTCTCATTTTCCAATCCCCTCACCAGCCCTAATTCCCTCACACCCCCTAGTTTCCTCACTCCTCCTGCTAGCACAGCCTCTCCCTCAGCTACCACGGGAACCACCACGACCAAGCAATCCGACCTCCACCGCTTGGCACTCCCCCTCTCTCTCCGCCATCTGCACCTACAGTGCCCTTCATTAAAGTCACTCCCGGACTCCATCACCCTCCTCTCCTCCCTCACTCGCCTCAGCCTCGTCTCCTGCTCCTCCCTCCGTCTCCTCCCCCCCTCCATCAGCATTCTCTCTTCCCTCACCTCCCTCACTCTCGACAACATCCCCCTCCTCTACTCCCTTCCTGACTCTCTCGCTTCCCTCCAACTCTCCGACCTCCCGTCCTGCACCGAATTTCCAGACTCTATTGGGGACCTCCACTCATTACAAGAACTCTTCATTAGTAACTTTGTTCAGCTACAGGAATTGCCGTCGTCCCTCTCTGGCCTCTACTCCCTCCGCCGCCTCACCATCACGGACTGCAATGATCTGATTACGCTGCCCGAGAATTTCGGTCAGCTTGAAAGTCTCGAGGAGCTAACCATACAGCAATGCCATTTGCTGGAGCGCCTACCTGCTGCCTTCTCCTCCCTCTCCTCCCTCACCCAACTGACCATCAACGACTGCAGCTCTCTCTCTCGCCTCCCATCCGCGCTTGGCCTCCTCTCCTCTCTCAGATCCCTCCAACTATCCGACCTCGTCCTCCTCTCCTTTCTCCCCTCCTCACTCTCTCGCTTGAGCCACCTCACCCTCCTCTCTCTCCACCGTTGCGACTCTCTCTCGTGGTTTCCCCACTCTCTCTTCCACCAGCAGTCCTTGGAGCAGCTAACAATAACCAACATGAAGCACCCTGTTCTCTCCTCCCTCCCCCCTGACTTCGGCCACCATTTACCCTGTTTGAAGAAGCTCCGTTTAATGGAGTACAATAGCATTATGGAGAATCAACCGCGTCTCAAGGCGCTACCTCCCTCGCTCCCCCAGCTTGCCTCCCTTGAGTTCCTCTCCCTCACCTCCTTCTCTTGCCTCTCTTTGCTTCCAGAAGACATTTCCTCCCTCTCTTCCCTCCACACGCTAGAAATTAAGAACTGTTCTTCACTCACGCATCTCCCACCCTCACTCCCCTCCCTTCCCTCCCTCACTCTCCTCCACATTGACGACTGCCCTTTCCTCTCCTCGCTCCCCTCCTCTCTCAGTTCCCTCTCCTCCTTGCAAGAGCTTAAGATTCATTGCAAGAGGCTTCTGTCTCTCCCTCACTCACTCCCCCTCCTTCCCTCCTTTCGCGTTTTCCACCTCAACTCGTGCCTCTTGCTCTCCTCCCTTCCTCCGAACTTCTCCCGCTTAACCTCCCTTCACACACTCTCTATCTCAGACTGTCCCGTGCTGCACCACCTGCCGACCTCTCTCCCGCACCTCCCCTCTCTCCACACCCTCACTCTCTCCGGCACCGGCATCACAGAGCTGCCCTTGGAGTGTGATTCTGTGCTGGATGGCAGTCACTCTGACCGTGAGAAGGGACCGGTGGGAGGGGTAGAAGGAGAAGAAACAGCAGCAGCAGCAGCAGCAGCAGCAGCAGCAGCAGCAGCAGCAGCAGCAGCAGCAGCAGCAGCAGCAGCAGCAGCAGCAGCAGCAGCAGCAGCAGCAGCAGCAGCAGCAGCAGCAGCAGCAGCAGCAGCAGCAGCAGCAGCAGCAGCAGCAGCAGCAGCAGCAGCAGCAGCAGCAGCAGCAGCAGCAGCAGCAGCAGCAGCAGCAGCAGCAGCAGCAGCAGCAGCAGCAGCAGCAGCAGCAGCAGCAGCAGCAGCAGCAGCAGCAGCAGCAGCAGCAGCAGCAGCAGCAGCGGCGGCGGCAGCAGCAGCAGCAGAAGACAGGGAACAGGGGGCTATCACAAGTGGGGCTGTCACAAGTAGCGATGCCACGAGTAGGGAGGGTGTCAAAACTGGTTTGCCTGGAACTTTCACCACGGCACCGATCCCCACAGCACCCATCCCCATAGCACCCATCCCCACGACACCGATCCCCCCGACACCTCTCCCCACAGCACCTCTCCCCACAGCACCCATCCCCACTTCACCCAGCAGTGGGGTGCTGCTGCGATCGCTGCAACACCTAGTTCTCTCCAACAATTCCCACCTCTCCCAGTTGCCTCCCTCCCTCACCCTCCTCCTCCACCTCTCCCATCTCACTCTGCAATCCCTCCCCCTCCTCTCCTCCCTCCCCTCACACATGCACCACCTGCCCTCCCTTCAGGAACTCACACTTCAAGGTTGCCATGCCATTTCCTCCCTCCCCCCGACGCTCCTCCTCTTCCCATCCCTCACACACCTTGAACTGAACGCCCTCAGTTCTCTCACCTCCATCCCTTCCCCCCTTGTCCCTACATCCTCCTCCTTGTCTCCCAAATCCTCTTCCCCCTGCCAGTTCGCCACTCCACCCTCCTGCTCCTCCACGTCCCCCTCGCTCCCACCTCACAATCCCCGTTCTTTCCCCTCCACGGGCTCTCGTTTCCCGATTCGCTCCATTGTTCTGCGCTTCCTGAAGCTGGTCTCGCTCCCCTCGTGCCTCCCACTGTTGCCCCATCTCACTTCTCTCCACCTGTTCGATCTGCAACAGCTGCGCTCGATCCCGTCCTCCTATCACACCGATGCTGGTGCTGCTGGTGATGATGATGTTAATTATAATGATGCTGCGTCTGATCATGATGTTAATGCTGCTGCGAGCATGGAGAGAGGGGTGGAGGGTGATGGTGCGGATGAGGAGAGTGACGGTTCTGATGTGAAGAAGTGAACGCGGATGAATGAACTATGAATGAAGTGGGTACAAGTATTGACCCTAATTGGGTTGTACCCCCTATGGGATACCCCACTATAGCCTACACAAAAGCAAAAGCTATAATGTTCTACTACACCCCCATAGGCAAAGTGGGGGAGAACAAGGGGTCACAAGACCAGTCAAGCAAAGTAAAGCAAAACAAGCTCGGGGTGGATCACAACGTCACCACACAGTCTGAGCACAAGGTCAAAGCCACAAGGCCAGTTCACATGCAGGAGGAGACATATATATATATATAAGTGTAAACAAACAAGAGTAGGTATATATATATATATGCAAGAGTACAAGTAAAGTCAAGAGGTGAGCAAGTGAGGCAAGATTGGGACAAGTCCCAGCTGGGTGCAGAAACGCTGATGATCACAAGGCGGAAGTGCCTTGGTGAAAACATCAGCAGTGTTGGCCTCAGAGGCCACGTACGCAAGTCGCAACTGACCACGCTGCTGCAGCTCACGAGCAAGAAAGTAGCGGAGAACAATGTGCTTCGTTCTGTGCTCCAGTCGCTGCTCTCGACACAAGGCCAGCATGGCCTTGTTGTCTACGTACAGCACTGGAGGAGAACGAGGCGGCTCTCCAAGGTCAGTCAGCAGGTAGGTGAGCCAGCGAAGCTCCTGAGCAGCCATGGCCCCGGCGTAGATCTCAGCCTCACAACTGGAGCCGAGAACAGAAGACGAGCGAGTAGCCCGCCACGAAACAGAGCCGGAACCAAGGCTGAAGGTGTAACCCTGTGACGACCGCTGTGTAGCCTGGTTGTCAGCCCAAGAAGCCTATGCCTGCCCAGTGAGGACCACTAAACTCTGCCCTCCAAGCACTAGCCCCATGCCCGACGTACTGCACAAGTAGCGCAACACCCTCTTCGCTGCAGCCATGTGCTCCGGTCTGTGTCTCCCAGGAGCAACATAGCGTGCAAGAATGCTAAGAGGGTATGCAAGGTCAGGTCGTGTGCAGGTCATCAGGTACATGAGGCAGCCAACAAGCTCTGGGTACGGGCCACTCGACTCTGCGGACTCATCCGAAGGCAGAACTGAGAGCGAGTGGCGAGTAGACAGAGGAGTGGCCTGAGGCAAGGAGTACGTGAAGCCGAAGCGCTGAAGGACCTGCTGCACCATGTGTGACTGAGTCAAGGTAATGGTGCGGCGTGCTCTGTCCCGAGTGATCTGCAAGCCAAGGTAGTTGCGCAGTTCACCCAGGTCTGTGCACGTGTGTCTCTTCTGCAGCTCGGACTTCACGTAGGCGAGTCCAGCAGTGTCCGCTGTAGCAAAGACCAAGTCGTCGACGTACACGAGGATGTAGAACGGCGGCAGAGAAGTGTCGGTGCGCAGAAACAACGACGGGTCAGCAGTAGAGGGAGCAAACCCAAGAGCCGCAAGCGTATTCCTCAGTGTGTCGTGCCACTCACGCGGTGCCTGGCGGAGACCGTAGACTGGCCGCTGGAGGCTCCACTGGGTGCCAGGAGGGAAAGTCCCAGTGAAGCCAGGTGGACGGCGCAGCCAGATCTCCTCGTGCAGGCTGCCCTGCAAGAAAGCTGTGCTGAAGTCAAGAGAGTGGAGCTCGTAGTCGCGCTGAGCGGCTATGTGCAGCAGCACCCGAAGAGTGGTCATCTTCGGGGTGGGAGAGAAGGTCTGAAAGTAGTCAACTCCCTGCCGCTGACTGAAGCCACGAGCCACGTACCGCGCCTTGAAGACAGGTGGAGAGCACGGCGGCCGCTTCACCCTGAAGATCCACATGCCGCTGACGATGTTCGCCCCAAGAGGGGGAACCGCGTCAACGTAGGTGCCTGTGGACTTCCAGGAAGCCATCTCTGCATCCATAGCTGCCTACCACTAAGAGGAGTAGGGACCCTCTACGGCCTCCGCGTAAGAGCGCGGAGTCGGGATGTCTAGTGCATCCGGGTCTCCCTCAGGGGCAAGCAGTACAGACGCGAGATGAGGTGAAGCAGCAGCCAGACACTGAAACTCCTCCTGCCTGTCCTCAAGGACGTTCGTGCCAAGAGCACACTCACCCCCGACGGACGGAGGACAGACAGACGCAGACTCAGCAACAAGACTAGCAGCGTAGTCCAGACGACAGCGAGCAGCAAAGTCGACGAGCTAAGCAACAAGAGCAGACGTAGCAGTGGACTCAAAAGAGGGGTCCGTGACGATAGTAGCAAGGAGACGCGTGACAGTAGGAATGGCAGCACGAAGGGAGCCCGACGCCGGGTCGGCAAGCGCCGGAAGAGAGGACTTAGGAGGAGAAGGCAAAGGGGCACGCAGAGGAGCAGTGGAGGGACGCAGAGACATCTGGTGCGTGCCAGGGACAGGAGGAGGACGCTATCGCGAACCACGACCACTAGCGCGAGCAGTACGGACAGGCGACGCGGGACGAGACGCACGGTCACGACGCTTAGTAAGACCTCCAGTAGGACCAGTGTAAGGAGAGGGAGCAGGCAGTGGGGAGGCAGGCTCTAACTGTGTCTGTGACAGGACAGGCGGTGGACACTCTACAGGAGGAGAAGGACCAAGAACCTGCTGAAGGAGCGGAACGAAGTACGGCCGAGGCCGCGCGGTGGCACCAGACACAGCAGGGACAGCACCAGCACCCTCAGCACCTCCCGCAGCACCAGCGCCAACAGCACCTCCAGCGGCAGGACCTCCAGCAGCACCAGCAGCACCTGCAGCAAGACCACCACCAGGACGGACAGTAGTAGTCTCAGAACCAACACCCTCAGCAACTCCAGCTCCAGGCGGACCCACAGGCCCTGCAGCTCCGGGACCGGCGACACCAGCACCCTCAGCGGCCGAAGAAGCGCCAGCTCCAGCAGTACGACTCCAGCGGCAAGCAAACCACTCACGCAGCTCCTGTGGAGAGAGTGGCTCCCGCCGAGACAAAACACCCGGAGAACCTCCAGGCCCAGCACCGCTAGACGCCACAAGGGGAGGTCCAGTGGCCGCAGGCTCCACACCTCCAGGCTCAGCAGCTCCAGATGCAGCACCCCCAGGCTCAGCACCCCCAGGCTCAGCACCCAGGCGCGCAGCACCCCCAGAGTCAACACCCCCAGGCTCAGCACCCCTAGGCTCAGAACCCCCAGAGGCAGCACCCCTAGGCTCAGCACCCCTAGGCTCAGCACCCACAGACTCAGCACCCCCAGAGTCAGCACCCCCAGGTCAGCACCCCCAGGCTCAGCACCCCCAGCAGTACCTGAGTCACCAGCAACCTCGACCGGCTCGACTGCATCTACCTGGGACACACCTGAAGAGGCAGGACCCTGAGGGGGAAGGGGGTCTACCAGGGGGGGACCTGGCACAAGGAAGTGCGGTGGCGGGGGGAGGGAAGGAGTGCGGTAGGGGAAGAGGCGGTAGAAGGGGACGGACTCGTCGAACGTGACGTCCTGGGAGGACAGAACACGACGAGAGGAGGGGTGGTAGAACTGCCACCCTGGGGCGTCAGGGGGGAAGCCTAGGAAGACACAGGGAGCAGCACGAGGGGACAGCTTGTTCGCAGACAAGTCGCGGACAAACGCCCGAGATCCCCAGACACGGAACGCAGACGCATCGCAGACCTTCCCCGTCCACAGCAGAGCTGGGGAGGTCTCCGGCCGGGAGACCCTGGTGTGAAGGTTGTTGGGTCGTGGCAGATGGCGCGTTGTTGTATGTGAATTCGATGAGTGGCAGCTGCTGCTCCCACGTGTTTGGGTCGTCGCACGTGGCCCTAATGAGCTGCTCCATGGTCTGGTTTGTCCGTTCTGTCTGTCCGTCGGTTTCGGGGTGATACGATGAACTGAATTGTAGTCGCGTGCCGAATTGCTGCCACAGATTCCGCCAGAAATTGCTGGTAAACTTCGTGTCTCTGTCGCTGATGATCGATGCTGGTATCCCGTGCAGTCAAACGACGGTGGTGATGAAGAGTCGGGCTGTCCGCCTCGGTTAGAGTGCAGACGCAAAACAGGAAAGTGCGAGCCGAAGTTCCTCTGAGCAGGAGACGAGCTGCGCGGATCCAGTCGATCAACACCTCAGTGACATCACCCTTGCTGCGCAAGGGGAAGACTGTGGTGTAACGCGAGTAGTCGTCAACGACCAGCAGAAAGTAGCGCTCGTGACCCTGTCCACGGACGCGGGCCGGGCCCCACACGTCCATGTGAAGCGTCTGCAGAGGAGCCTCTGTCGGGGGAAACTGGGAGGAGTGAGGGGCAGCCCAGAGCCGCCCCTCGACAGAGGGGACACAGGAAGGTCCTGGCCCCGAAGGAAGGGGAGGGAGAGACCGGGGGAGACCAGAGACAAGGACACGGGAAGCTATGCCCCGAAGACGAGGCAAGGAGGGGTGGCCAAGACGGTGGTGCCACAAGAGAGTATCGTGAGACAGGAGGCGACACGAGCAGGGGGCAGACTCAGGACCAGACCTGGACGCAGCAGCAAACACCTGACCCGACGTAGCTACCTGGCCAGACGCAGGGTCTGGAGGAGACTCAGTGGTCAGGGTGTAGAGACTCGACCCGGGCCGACGCGAAAACGTGGCTAGGTGTCGGCCTGTGCGGGCGTCCGAGCAGCGGGTCACCCGCTGACTCGCAGGAGTGAACTGGTGAACCCCCGCATCCTGCAGGTCAGCACCACTCACCAAGTTCGTCGAGAACGAGGGGAGGTACAGACCCGACAGGGTGCCCGAGGGGGCAGCCGGACACGGGAGGACAGTGGAGAAGTGAGAGAGGACAGGACCCCCAGAGGGGTCAGCCAGCGAGACTGCAACCGGCCGACCAAGCGGCGTGAGTGTGGTGCGGTCTCGAAAGAAGGAGCGAGAAGCCCCTGAGTCAAGTGTGAAGGTGAGGGAGGCCGAAGCCGACGCAGTACCTGAGAGCGCAGCCTCACCAGTACCTGAGAGTGCAGACGCACTGGCACCTAGAGCAGTAGCCTCACAAGCACCTAGCGCAGCAGTACCAATGCCCGGGTCGGGAGGGAAACACCGGTAACAGTCACCCTCATCAC